GTATGTACTTTGGCGTTATGTAACTTGGTGTGATGCTATAGCTAAGAAAACCACTAGACCTAAATATCTCACACATAACCATGACAGACACGTTGGGCAATCAAAACTGCTGCCAGATGATGAGAGATCTCAGAAGGGTAATTGCCCAAAACCGAAAGTTAGTAGAATCACCAACATCTATCATGCAGAATAATTCCATCTTGGTGACATCAGTGTGATTACATTACTTCTCAAATTTTTATTATTCACTTCTGTAAAGAGTGTTTTCTAGAATTCCTAGTGATGAATCAAGCCGTGATCGCGGTATTTTTTTTAATTAGCTATTAGCAGTTAAGTTCTTTACACCATGGTAGGGAAGGAGTAAGCACACCAGCAAGAAGCACAGAGGACTTTGTTCTCCAAGGATCTCAGTGCAGACAGAGGAAGAGTGCCTCTGAGGGTACGCTTTACTCACCCTGCAGCTTTGAGGATCCAGAAGCTGTGGGAGCCTCAGCTGGGAAGCAAATGCACGCTGAATCACAGAGTTACTCAATGGAGGCAGCACATGGTAAATCCTGTCTGTAACACTCTGGTAGGCTGAAACATTCCCCGATGACAAGAAAGTCTCTCTGTAAAGGAACCAAAATGTTTGTGTTAAAAAAGAAGTAAGATGGCTTCCAAATTCTCCAAATGGTCTGTAACAAAATTACCTGCACCTTATTATAACCCAACACAGTAGCGACTGATAGGGATAGCAGCAGATATGACGATTAAAAGAAATAGACACAAATGTTAATGGTGTAGATACCTGTGTGAAAGTGCGTCTGACTGGGGACATTTACAGCAAAACCTATGTCTGTGCTAATGGAGAGGGATTAGGTGTGATTCATATGCGTGAATTAACTGGTAGCTAATAGACTGGATAACAATTCAGCAGCTCTGCTGCCTCCCATTCATGATATTAGGATAATTTCCTATACAAAGTGGGAAAGCCACTAAAGCTTTTCAAAGTTTTCAAAAGTGCTTGTGAGGCTTTGGAGCCTAAATCATAGGATACTTAAGAGTCCAGAGCTAGGTTTGGCAACAACAGTCCCCACTGATTTTCATGAGACCTGGTCTCACCTATCAAATGCGCTTGGTCTCACACGGCAATGGAGGTGACACCAGCGCCCAGCTGAACCAGCAGGATGCTATTCCAACACAGGTATCTGGCGCTTCTGGGACCCAGCCAGCTCCTCATGCTTCAATTGCATTGTGCTGTGCAATCCCACACATAAAGCTACTTTTTACTGCACTCTATGCATCAGGTAAATATATTACTCAAACAAGCTTCGGCATGACTTTGTCATTTCATTGCACCCTCTTTGTCACCATCAATTCTCCTGTACTTCATTCACATGCTTTTAAAATAAAAGAGCCCCTGTTCAACCAGTTCTTGCAATATAAGAAGCAATCTAGACTGCAGCTGTTTCTGTAGCTGCACATCCTTCTCTGAGCCACAACTCTAAGACAGGAATCTCGTTCTTTTGTTTTTGTCAAACACACACAGGCGCTTTTAAAAATGACATGGAGTTTGTATCAGTCACAGAACTAATAAAGGAATTACAGGGACAAAAAACAGCTTCTGGGATCAAACTTGGCAGACAACTTCAGAAGAGATTAAATGTGATTTAGTGTAAGCCGTGGCGTGGAGAAAAATGGAAACTAATTGCACTGGCAATAAGGAACAAGAAAGATGAAGCATCCATTATACTGCATTTCTTCTTACTTCCTGCTAACACGCAGTTCCTTATCCGAGGAAAACACTTCCCTCACCAACTGTCTTTACAGTATTTTAATCAGGAAAAAGTAGAAATAAAAACACAAGGTAGTCTTATCTTCTTGTGAGTCTCCAGAAAAGTCTTTGGTCTACACATATGTACAATCACAACTCCAGTGGATAGCACAGGAGTGGTCGCACTGGATCAGAGCAAAGGTCCATCCAGCTCAGAGTCCTGTCTCCCACAGTGATCAAGAGTGGATTCATGAGAAGATTACAAAAATCTCCAGAACAAGCATATGCTGATATTTTCCACCAATATTCTCATGGCCTCCAAGAATTTGTAGCTCAGACATTTCCTCAGCCAGAAGTGATTGCTCAATGTTTAATAACCGTTGGTATATATGACTTCCACGAGCCTGCACGGTCTCCCTCTGAGTCCGACGAACTTTCACCACCCACTGCATCCCGTAGCAAGAAATCCCACAGCCCAATTACAAGCCATGTGCAAGAACCACCTTTTTCTTTCGTTCGGAGCCAGCTACCTGCTGTTCACCTGGGGTGCACTTTATGCTAGAAAAGAGCGTGAGCAGACACTCCTTGTTTATCCCCTGCCTTTGACTGACAGTTTTACAGAGCTCTCCCCAAGCTGTACCACTTGTTCCACCCAGCAGCCTTTCATCATCCTTGTGGCTCCTTTGGGAACCTTTCTGAGTTCTCTGTTCTTCCTCAGGTGGGGATCAGAACTGCATAGGCTCATCACCACAGATTTACTCAGTGCTGTAGAAGTGTTCTTATTTTTGCTCTCCTGAAGTGAATCAATTTTGTTGGGGTTTTTTTTATCACTACTGAGTTGAAATTTTGACAGACTTCTCTGAGATTTCATAACTGCACGGTAATGGTCAAGTCAGAAGCTGTCATTTTATACATTGGGATTGGGTTTTTTCTCCCAGATGCATCATTTTACCAACACACTGAACTCCACCTGCTGTTTTGTTCTGCAATCACTCTGTTTTGTAAGGTCCATCTCCAGCCAGCCCTTGCCCTTGGTATCCTGGGTATCACACTGTCGTGTACACACAGTACCACCTCAGCTTCAGTTCCTTTTCAATGTCATCTATGAGCACCCGAACAGCACAGGAGAAAGCTCAAACTCCTGTGGGAAGCCACTGGTAACCTTCCTTATCCACTGCATAAGTTGCCCATTTACAGCCTTCTCCTTCCTATATCTCAACAAATTATGTACAAATGTGACCATCTCCTCACATATCCAGTGGCTGCTCAGACTCCTTAAGGGCCCCTGTTGAGGCTTTTAAAGCTGTTGGGAAATCCAGACAAACTGTATCAACCCTTTATGTTGATAACACCCTCAGAGAACCCCAATATGTTTGTAAGGCATGACTGCGGCACTTTCCGAAAGCAGTGTTGGCTCTTCCCAAACGTATCATATTTACCCACGCATCTACTTCGTTACAGTTTCTGCTAGTGTGAACACTGGGTGATTAGCCAGATCACCCTTGCAATCCTTCTCAACGACTGGCAATGCATCAGCCATGTCCAGTCTTCGGGTACCAAGGCAGTGTTAAGCAAGGGGCTAGACACCATAGCTAGTTCTTTGGTTTCTGTAAAAAAAATAATTCTTGAGTTCTTTCAGAATTCTTGAACATTGTCTGGTCTTGGCAACTTGTTCATTTTCATTTCAGTCCACTTGTCCCATAAGTTTCCCTGGCAACGCTTCCATTTGCAGCAGCTCCTCTGATGCATCTCCCTTAAAGAAAGGTTTCGGTGTGGGAACCTCCTCAAGTTCTTCCACAGGGAATGCAGAAACAAATAAATCACTTTTTAAAATGTGTGCTATTGACTTCTCTTCACTGAACACTCCTGATCACCTACTGGCCCTATGGACTCTCTGGCAGGTTTCCTGCTCCTGGTATAGTTGAAACAAGATTTATTATTGGTCTTGAAGCCTTCAGCAAAATTGTTCCTCAAAATCTCTGCTAGGCTGTCTTGAATCATTTTACATTTATCCTGTCACAGTTTATAGTCTTTTCTGTTTTCTTCATTTGAATGAAAGTTCAGCTTTTTGAAGGATGCCTTCTTGCTTTAATAGTCTTTTTGATCCTGCTATTTAGCCACGCCAGCATCCTCTTAGCCTTTCTTAAGTCTTTCTTCACATGTGGTATGCATTTCTTGAGCGCCTCCAGTATGTCTCCAAAGACTCTCCATGCCATCTGCAAGGATTTAACTCCCCTGGCTAATCCTTCTAGGTCTTTCTCAGCAAGTATTCTGATTTTTATGTAGCTTCCCATTTTGAAGCTGAGCTCAGTTACAATGATTATTTTTGGCTTTCACTGTTCCTTCAAGGATGTTTTATGCAAGCACGTCATGGCTGCTCTTAGACAACAGCTCTTTAACTGCAGCATTTTGAACTTGGTCCTGTGTGTGGCTCAAAACCAAGTCCAGGAGCTGTTTCTCTTCTGACAAACTCCACAGCCTGCCTGCCGCACGCAGACTACCCCTGCAAATCTAGTCTTGCATCATGCCACCACGTGGCATCTACGGGGCGGGGTGGGGGGGAGAGTTGAAATTTCCTTTACTTTTGCATGTCCTGCCCTTGTTTTGGTTCTGCCAAGGTTATTCCGTTGAGTACATTCAAACCTCTCTGTGACCATTATTGATAGACAACGTATGGGAGGAGAGCAGGGGAAAAAAGGAAGACAGTTACTTTTTAGAAAGACCTGAAAAGTGTATCTTAGTTGGGTTCCTGTGGTGGGGTAAATAACCACATTTCTCAGGAGGCTAAACCTAGATCTCGGTATAAGCAGGTAAGTCCTGTACCTGCTTATTAAGCATTCTTTGGTGGAGGAGAATATAAAACTGAATGTAGATCCCATAGCAAAACAAAAAGATTAAGTCATAAGTCTAACTCTGCAGCAGCTACCAACCGCCCTGATTTAGTAAACTATGCATCGGAACATAAAGGTGATATAGTGCTCAGATAATAGGACAGCTGCACTCAGACAGGGTGCATTCAGATCCCTCAGAGAAGCATGTAAGGACCGTCACCGCTTTTAGTTAAAGGAAAGTTGGCACTTCTAGTGCAAGGAAAATTTCTACACTTACAGGGCATGTTTCATGATCTTGGAGAAGACACCATGGACAAAATTTAAATTAATCTTTCCTACATTTTTTTCCTTGTGAAAAAAAAAGCCTTTTTATAAAAAAGGTGCCAGTCCCATCCCTAACAGGCTGTAATTCCTACCGTAGTCGGTGCCTGATTGCTGCATCAAACTGTAGAAAGATCACTTCTTTGTGAATGGCTAGCAGCTGGGCTACTTCACTGGGATCCAGTGGATTCTGAAGGCTGTCAATCATTTTCTGTAGGTCTTGAAGTTCAGTCCCTGGAGTCCCAAGAACAGTAAGATTATCAGGTAAGGTGTCAGGAAATGCACATAAAAATATCTCAGTTCCGTAAACTCATTTTCCCCTCCAGGAGTTTTGTACTTCAGGACTTTCTTCATTTATCAACCCTCCCCCGGGAGGCAGAAGAAAAATGTATTTACATCCCCCTCGACATTACAAAACCAGGCTTCGAGAAAAAAGATTGTGGCAGGTGGAGAATTATGAGGATGTAGTAAGGTCAGGGAGGAAAAGGTGTAGGAATGAAAAGTTACAAGCATCTCAAAAGAATGGTTCTTTTATTAGCCTTTCCCAATAAAAAGTCAATTCTTATAAAATGCCAACAAGGACGGTGGTGAATTTTTATTGATTATCATATCAAGATTAGACTTGTCAGATGGGAGCAGAGTCAGGTCCTGAGACGGCAATTTATTTACTCCAAAGACCTAAACTAGTTACTACCGGAGAAGGAATGATAGGGACAACTATTGCAACTATTTTTAATAGAATACAATAGTATGGGCTCAATTCTGCAAGCTAATGAATATTTTTCTGCTGAGGCTCTAAAGTTTTTAATTCCCTTTAAGCCAGCAAAAAACTTCTCAACGCAATTGGTCTCTTACAAGCCATTACCCTTACAAGGGCACCTGCTCTTACTTGGTGTTTGCAGGAGATGTGTGCACGGGGCTTGACTGCCTCCCAAGACACAGCCAGTGCAGAAGTGATTTAGCTGGGAAGCACCTGTTACAGAAACCCAATGTTCTCTCTGTCAGGCTGCAGGGGCTGCCGTCGCTGAAGCAAGTTAAATGGTCTGATTTGGGGGAGAGGGAAATTATTCCTCAGCAGCAGCAACAAAACAGATCTTTTGGTCAGGAGCAATGGAGTTAAATTTTCTGTACAAAATACATTGCAGAGACAGCAGAGTACTGAGTACTCCCTCTTGTCTGTATTTTCTGTTTTAACAGTGCGGTAGTCAGGCACACATTAGATAAGTCTGAAATTGAAACAAATTGCACATAATATTCCTCCTACATCTGGTTACGTGGTTTCTCACTGATCACTGAGCTCAGTCTTCTTGATTGTTTCAAAGCTCATTAAACATGCTAATTTACATGAGTTTTCTCAGCCATATACCAATGAAGTTACTAATACGCACTTGATGGTACAACGAGCGCACACCACAGAACAGGGAGTGCTATTTGTTAGAGAAAATAAGCCCACTTCAAAATCAAACATTCACAAGCACAGTATTAAAATAAAAGCTATAACAAGTATTTATGATTCACTGAGTCCTTGCTTCTCTTCCAAAGTGAAATTTCAAGAAGATAAATTCAGAGCTGACAATAAAAATCTTACTCACATAAAAAGAAAAATACATACGGGATAAAATCTGGAGACATTAAAAGACAAAGCTAGTCTTTTATGTATTTTTCTCAATTCTTGAAGAATTTAATATTTTTACCCAATTGTCATAATCAATTTTTCATTGTTTAAAAGATGCCAGGACAGAAGGGAAGCTGTGCAGGTGAAGTTTTTACTCCTGAGCTACATCTGAGCAGCGCCAAATGTACAGAGGTATAAATGTGGGCATCTCTAGGTGGCATGAAGATAGTCCAGCTGTGCAGCACACCCCCCCACAGAGGAGGAGGCATGCATAGCTTGCCATGTTTTGAAACTCCAGCTCACTATACTGCAGGAATAATCCGGTGGCTGAAAAACCAAATGCCAAGAGCACTGCAGCCCTTGGGACAGGATTATCTCATGTGACTTTTGTTGCTTAATTATCAGGCATCAAGTTTAATTGGGTTCCTGCAGTCCTAGGCAGCTCCAAAGAGGGTTTCATCCCACTCACTTTGAACACATCTTAGCTTTGGATGAGAGCTCCTCTGAAGGTGTCTTTGAAACGGTGTTCAGTGACAGCAGATGTACCTAAATGGTGGTTAGATACCATACCTCACTGCTAACCACTAAAGAAAAGGTAGATAAATACCACTCCTGCAGCACAGTTTAACTTGAACAACAGATCAAAGCTATTAGGGAAACCGGTATGATTTCTGCACAAATACGTGTTCATGCAGTTCGACACACACCTCAGCTGTTTCACCCTTTCAAGAGAGAATCAAGCGACCAATTTACTAGAGAAACCCAAGCCTACCTTTTCTAATTTTCTGGTAAAGATAAAATCATCATGGGCTGACCAGATGGCTTAACAGACACTTGCTAGAGGCAGAAGAGCAATTTTTGGACCATGTTTTCTGTTCCCTGCTGGAGCAGACCTCCCGAGCCTGGTAGGTATGTTGCTTTTCTGTGAGATTGCAACAGATCTGTGATGCTGTGGGCATGCTCCCGAAACATGACAGTCTTCCATCAGTAAAATGGAGAAGGAAAAAGAAAAAAAGAAGGATGGAATTTCATCTTGACTTTATTCTTCAGTTGACATCTATCTTCTCTTCATGCTCCTTTTGTCCCTTTCTCACCGTCAGCATTTCAGACTCTTTTGCACCTGGAGCCATCTACCTTAAGCACGCAGTATTTGTCACTTACCAATCCTGCCGGTCCCTCCCCAGGCTGGGGTCAGAGGCTCTGGGTTTCAGGCACAAAAGCAGTTTGGGGAATTTCCTAATTGAGCAAAAGCCAGGAGATACGAAACCACGTCGTGAAATGCACCAACAATTTCTAGGCTTAGGTGGAGAGCTCTGAGAGCAGCCTGCAGACAAGACAAATGCACAAATAAAACCATTCAGATGATTGTCCCTAAGCAAACACACCAAAGTAACAAATATTTTTGCTTCCTGGGCCACAGACACTCCTGGGCACCAAAGGAGACCTCCTTGGGAGGGTGCTGGGGCTCCCAGAGCAAGGTCAAGCACTGGATTTCGTTCAGGCTCAGGATATTGCTCCCAGCTGTCACCATCCCATCTAGCGTCACAGCTTCTGGTTTAGAAACAGCTTCCCCAGTGTCTCTTACAACCGCTTTTTTTAGCGTTTGTATCTATCCAAACAGATAGACCCGGCCCTGCAGCCTTCCCCTCGTAGTCACAGAATCACGGAATCACAGAATGGTAGGGGTTGGAAGGGACCTCTGTGGGTCATCTAGTCCAACCCCCCCGCCGCAGCAGGGTCACCTACAGCGGGCTGCACAGGACCTTGTCCAGGCGGGGCCTGAATATCTCCAGAGAAAGAGACTCCATATTTGTAAGCATATATTAGGTCCCCTCTCAGCCTTCTCTTCTTCAGGCTGAACAAGCCCAGCTCCCTCAGCCTCTACTCATAGGAGAGATGCTCCAGTCCCCTCACCATCCTCGTAGCCCTCCGCTGGACTCTCTCCAGCAGCTCCTCATCTTTCTTTAAGTGGGGAGCCCTTCTGCCCTGCGCCGCAGCATCTCCAGCTGCCGCACTGCCAGGGCCAGCCCAGGAGCCCCCTCCCTCCAGTCCTCTCGCCTCCCTGTTCCAGCAGAAATAAGGCAGAGGACGTAAAGATCCCAGCCTGCCTCTTCTATGTACGTGGGGACACGGACAAGACTTGATAAGCTGGTAGGATGGGGAATACTTTCACAAATAGGAGAAGGTGACACAGCATGGCTGGGGTTTGGTTTAATTACTTTTGATCTTTAAAGATCTTCAGATATCTAGCTAAAGGATCCTTCCTTTCCTTTTACTGTTGTTTCTACCTCTAAGCCCAGAGGACCAAAGCTCTCTCCTTCCTGACAGGCACTCTTCGTCCACACCCTGCATCAGGGGCACACGCCAGCTGCATCCATCTTAAAACCACTGACGTTTATTTCCCTGTCTCCAGTGACAAGAAAAGTTGCAACGCACATGAAAAGATGTGCGTGGCTTGGTGCCTAGAACAAAACCTCTTTTAGCATTAGCGAATACTGACCTTCTCTGGAAGCGTTTTGAACACGATCAGCACTTCAGCAGGGGGAGGGATGAACCACAAGTTAAGGAAGGTGCATCCATCTGGAGACAGCAAAGAGCGCAGCCGAGGATGGAAGGATCTGAGTTACAGCGAGAAGAGACAGGTGTTCAGCATTTTGAGGCTTCTCTCTGCCTGTCACTTCCCAGAAAGACTTTTTCTTTAAGTTTGATAAAACTGTTACTTGGACATAGAATTTACCTCTAAGATTTGGAGCAAGTGTATTTTAGACATAATACGGTTTAACTTTGATGTGTAGAATACAAAGTAAAAGTTTGACCTCCAAAACCTGCTGAATTTGAGAGACATTTGAAAGAAACTTTCTTAAAACATTTGATTTATAAAGCAGGGGCGTGAGCTGCTGTGCTGAGGGCATTCAGGGTCTCTTTCCCCAGGAGCATGCTTTTTGCTGGCTAGGACAGGGGACAGGCAGGGCAAAGCAGCAGGTGGGCATTAAAAATCCGTATCATTATTTTAAAATATTATGTGCAATTACTAGTAGGCAGCTCACTTTTTTTTGCCAGAGGTATGAAAACACAACATTTATTACATGAATAATGTATTTCCCTGGTTTTATATACAATGTGCCATTTCTTGTCTTCACATACATGAAGATGAAGTACAATATGCAGCTCATACATTCTGAAATAAGAGATATAAATTCAGCTTGGAGATTAAGTTCAGCTCTTTCTGAAGCAAGGTTTGCAGGGCTTTTAATCTTTTCTTTCTGTTCGGAAAAAAAGAAAAGCAAGGCTAAATGCTAAAAATAGACCTTTGGTTTGGGTGGGATGGAGTAATGAAAGGTTAAATACTCTCTGTTGTAAGCACAGAAATTGTATTTGGGCCAGGTTTGTTTAACCAGCTGTGACCTACTAACTTTTGCACAAGAATGATAAGCACAAATTGTTCTGAAGGAAACCAGACAAGTGACGCTTTTCAGGGTGAGACTAGTATTCACGCTCTCCATTTCCTCTGCTTTACATCACAGCCCGTAAACGATACCAGGGAGAGAGCAAACAGGGCGACCAGCGTTTCCTCCAAGTGCAGATGCACACGGGCTCTCCAGATGTGCTTTGCCTTTACAGACTGCGGCGGGCAAGCACTGTGGGCAGCCTCTCACAGATGCTGTGCTTCCCCACCTCACCACAGGACACCAAGGGTGGCTTCTCCATAGCCGTGTTTGCAAAGGAGTCCTGCACTGTGTCACCCTGCTGTGCTGTGGCACCTGACTTCTTCAGCAAGAAAATGAAGACAGTCCACTGCATCCAGATAAGCCCAGGTGCTGCCTACCCCAGCAACACATGAACTATTTGCAGTGCTATCTCCCAAGAAACAGCTAAAACACAGATTAATTCCAAACAAAACAGATTTTCTACATTATGTAAAGAAAACATAACCCCCCCCAAAACATCCAAGAGATGCTATGTCATGCTCACAGAGTGACAAGTACTTTTAAAAGATGTATGGCTAAGAGCTATGACCTAGTTTCTTATGCCAAATCTAGGAAGAAAGAAAAAGGCTGGGGGAAGGGTAGAGCAGGATGGCACCACTGCACAGAAACCACAGCCCTATGTTTTCCTCTTTCTTCCTGCTTCTAACGTTTACTTTTAAGAAGGCAGTTGCTGAGGGAATCTTTTGCTGTTTTCTGTAAGATAACATTTCTGCAGCACTCAAGTGCTTCTGCCTTTTTTTAAGGGATTCTGCCAAGCCTTAGGTGAGCCAGCCAGGGCAGTCGCAGGGTACGCATCCACAGCCTTCCCTTCATCCTGCTGCAGCTGGGCTTTATATAACATAATGATAGCAAAATCATGAAGAACTGGGGGTTCATCCGACAAAATGTGGATGCTGACAGTGCAAGCACCTGTCTTGAGTTGCTGGAAAGAGGCACTTCCAGGACACAACTCATCTCGTCCTAAAGCAGGAGTCTGCAACGGGTCATCCCTCTGAAGCACCCATTGGTTATCAGGGGAGCCTGGTCAGATACAGGCATCTCAGGTTAGGTTGGCTGTTCTCAGACTTTTCCCATTGATTTTAATGAATTTCAGTCTAGCTATTCCCATTCTCACTTCTGCTCTTTCCCAAGAGTCTCTTCTTTCCTTTCTTCCTTATTCCACCTAATTTTTTCTCCTTTTCCTCCTCTTCACGTCTATCTTTCTTCCTCCCTATACTTTCTCCACTGCAACTCACCACCTTCCACCCGTTCACCACACTCACTCTTTCTTCCACCCAGCTGCAGGTCCTTCTCACAGGGAGGGAGTGATGGGGAAGGCAGGACCTGCTCACCCCCCAAGCGCCTGGCAGCCACGAATGCAGGTAATGAGATTAGTTCAGCAGATAAGAAAGCAATTGAATTAATGTCCTGCTATAACCCTCCTAAACGCAGGCAAGATGGAAGCTAAATTTCTGCTTTCATCATAACTAACTGACAGTTGCTCTCTGCAAGGTGCTTCTTAGCTTCAGTTAAACAGCAAGAGAGAATGAAACATTAGCTTGTAATAACTGATAAAGCGGGGACAACAAATGGGCAGAGGGTCCAAAAGGGCGGGAGCCGTTTTTAGCGAAAGCCTTTTCTCGGGCTGCCTGCTGGTTTCTGTGCCAGCCTGCACAGGGACAGGCCAACGCAGGTCCCCGCGCCCGCTGCCCTCCGGATGCCTTCCGTCTGCCTTCCTCCGGTGCATAAGGATCTGCTCTTGGCTTCCTTCGTGTATCAAGCGCAGCGGAGCAGCGTGCTGTAGCAAGCGATACGAAAGCGAGCGTGGCTCGGCCGCAAGCTGCTGGGGGGACACAGGCAAGTGTCGAAGCACAGGAGGAGAAAAGGCAACCTCAGAAAATTCAGGGCTATTTGCAAAATAAAAGGGCATACGTGTGTGTATACATGCTTATTTTCTAGGATGTTTCATTTTACAGTGTAAAAGGACAATGTATAACCGCTTACAAGTTAATATGCTTATATTAACATTTTTGAAGAAGTGTAACAGTATAACCCTATAAAGTATTACAGGGTACTGAAATATTTTGCTGCCGTTGAAAAGTTACAGGTCCAAGCAGCACAAGCCAATATCTGATTAAGGTGCACAATGCTAGGACTTGCTGATCTGTATGTTGAATATCCCAACAGAGGCGATGCTCTGCAAGACCTTCTCTGTCACAAGACGAATACTCCTGAAACGCACCATGGCTTTATTCTTTGCTCGATGTTCCCACGACACCACGAGTAGCAGGTAGTGCATAGCATGAACTGCAGAAGTATAGGTTCTGCAGCTGGACTCAGCTCCTCTGTGTAAATAGCTCATGTTTGATTTAGTCCTTGCCAGTAAACTAGAGTGACAACCGAAACAGTTTCTATGACAAACAACCACTCTTGGTCCTAACTCCCGAATGAGTTCAGGGCAGAAGATGGACACTGTGTGACCCGCGAACCCCCAGATGGAAAGAACCTGGGGTGGGGGGGTAGCTTGAGCTTGAAATTAACATTTTGCTCTAGGATTACTATTATCTCTTCTGTTACTGTGTCCAGAGAAGGCTCCTTCTAAAGCTAGGAGTGAATGTGTTGTGCTGGTCCACGTACAACTTCTTAAGCTTATATGCAAAATACTATAAAGCTTAAAAGGTTCTCAGGGCATCTGAGACAGCAGTACAAAATACAGTGCCTTAGATACACCCAATAAAAGCAGGTAGATAAAGGAAGAAAAAAGGCCCATGCCATGGGCCTGTGATGGGGTTACTCCCCAGTAGCTACTAGCCAAGGTAAGAGCCAGCCCAAAACTGGTGTAGCTCCAGAAGTCTGCAGCTCGCCTGCAGTTCAACTACAGGAAAGGGGTAACAATCACCTTCTCAAGCATCTTGTTGAACCACATTTTATGATTTGTTTGCCTTGTAATCACACTCCCAACATTTGTTATTGGAACCAAAACTTTTGCCTGAACCTTACCGAGTTGGTTTTTTTTGCATTTGCTGCAGAACTTCTTGGTTGCTGGGGAACAAGGTGGTCAAGAGCAAAACCAGTGTGCTGGGTGACTGCTTTCACATCTAAAACCATCTGCCTGCTGGTGCTAACATGGGGAGCCCAGAGACTTACAGAGACTCAGCAAAAGGGCTCTCGCCTTGCTAGCCACAAGTTTTGAGGAAGGACATCCTTGTGACATGGCCAAAAAAAAGGTCCCTTCTGAAAGAAGCAGCTGATACAGGGTCATCCCCTAGTCTGTCGTGTGCTCTTCCTCTCCTTTCCTAACTTCTGACAAGTCACATGTCTGCAACTTATTAACAGGTTTTGTTTAAATCTTCAGTAAATAAAATTTAAAGGGTAAGACAACTCTCACTATCTAGGCTTAACCATTAAAGCAAAAGATTTACATCCTGAAAATGAGATTATCCGTTTCTTTCCCCCTTACATATAGCATTGGGATTAGAAGCTAGCACATTTCTAAAGTTTTCCTTATTCATATGCGAGCTTATACGAGCGACTCTGACTGTGCATATTCTCCATCCATCAAAATTGCCTGAAGACTGTCAGAACACACAGCTCGAGGCACTTTCAGACCACCATTCCCCTTACAAATGTGTTCACCTCTACTCAGTAATACGCTCTGACTGAGGACTCTGGCCCCCGGGAACACGCTTGCAAACATCATACAAACCTGGGATTAGCTGCAAGGTTTTTCTTTAAGTCTTGCTCCTCTTTTTTTCCTTGAGATAGTCCAATTATGAAGTACTTGTCTCTGATGACAGGGAAATCATCTAAGAGGCTTCTCAGGCTATTGTAGTACCCGCTGAGCTGACCTCTGAGGGCATGCTGGGACACACGCTGATTCAGCCTAAAAAAGTATAATTTAAATATGTAGTGTTGTGCAGGGCATCATCTGTCCAGATAAATTCTGCCTTTGTTGAGCTTAATCATTTTTTGTATGGACATCTTTGGCATCTTCTACATCAAAATTTACAAGCTATTATTCTTCTGTACTGTGACAACCAGCGGGATAAAAATTGCAAAAGTGGCATTTAAGAACGAAGGTAAATTTTAGATTTAATGCTTTTCATTACACAGATGTCTTTACAATGCCTGAGAAATGTCTGCAAGTTACTACAGCAAACACTTTGTGGTAGTGATTGATACTTGCGTTACAATAAGGAAGCAGAAGCAGGAAGGAGCTAAGTGAGATAAAGAGTTAATTGCAGAACTGGGAATTAGACAGCATGACCCTGAGTCAGATTTCATCATCACTGAGCCGCCCTGAAACTCCGCTCCAGCCCCTGGTGCAAACTGCCTCCAGACCCATCGGTCTGGCCTTACCTACACACTTGATAAGCTGCACCTGGGTTAAAGGTAGTCTGCACCTGCAGCATCACACAACACCACATCATTTGCAAACCATGGCTTGCCGGAATAGCTGCCCTGCTTGCAGCTTGCTCCTTGCCATGCTCTTTCCCAAGGCTGCTCGCATGCACCTCTGCATACCTGGGCGTATGAGGAGAAGACAGACCTGGATGCTGGCCACAGGCTGGGTTCTCACCCAGGCTTTTGACAGAGTGGATCTGGAACATACAGCTCTTAGGTGGCTTCATAATAGGCTATGCACTCCAGCAGAAAGGTGACACATAAACTAGCCTAGTGCAGTATATCGAGTAAAGTCTGTTTCTCAGTGAAAGCAGACTAGAAATAGTCCATTTCCTTATTCGTTTTTCCTTCCTTTTTGGCGTGTGTTCTCAGTCTCGTGATACTGTGTGCACAACAAAGGTCCCAGAAATGTAAACTTGCCTGAGAATAAAAACCATAAAATACTGAACATTGACATGTGAACACAGATTTAAAAAAAAAGAATATCAAGTCCAACTGTTTGAACCTCTGGTTTCTCCCAAGCTGTCTTACAAACTAGATTGAATTCACAGGATAGTACATCCCACTCATTCATTTTCTGATCTACTGCACATTATCTTCACTACAATTTATCGCTCATGTCAGTGACATTTATGTGGTATTTCTGCTGAAATACCAAGAAAGTGTTGGTGTTGTGTGTCTCTACTTAGCATCCATCATCAAACCAAGTGGCATATTTCCGACTCACCCAGCAACATGGCTTGTGCTGCCTGTAATGTTATCCCACTAAACCACTGAAAATGTTCTTTTCCTTAGCTTGCAAAATGGCTTACAGGTATGTTCATAATATTCTGTATACAAAGTCCGTAAGTTCGTATTATCCATGTGAAAAAGATGCCCTTAGAGCAAGAGTTATGTTTAAAACATGATGTGTTTGTATGGAAATGTCTACATGAGATCTATATTAAACATATACTAGACATACAGTAAACATCTATACCAGGTATACTTACTTATGGCAATACTCAACAATAATGTCTCTTGAGTTTCAGAACTTCATCCTATAATGAGACAATATTTTCTTCTTAGTATCATGTAGGACTTGCATGTACTGTGACTATAACAAAGCCAAAACACTTGTAATATTTTCTATTAATATAATTCTAAAAACCCCTCCGGATTATGTACAGTATTACAAATATCTAAACTATGGAATTCCAAAACTGTAAGGACGCTAAACATCAAGAAAGATTTCAACTAGTATTGCCAGACCTAGTAAACATTCAAGGCAATCTTGTAAATAAATTCAGAATTATTTTATTCAAGTCTAGTTCATATGATTTTGTTCACAAATTCTGTAATATTTCCCCAAAGAGCCTGCAGCTAGCAGTTATTTCCTCATGCACTCATATAGCCTACTGAGCTGGTAAGAAGGTTATGAGTACATTAAACTACATAATTTATGCTGACTATTTCAAAAAGAGAAGAGCCGTTAAGGGTTTGTGTAGAAGGAGTTTGATTTTACTACCTGGTAAATTCTTAAAAGTCATGCCTAGCCTGTAACATATTCAGCACAAGTTACAGAATCACAAGCAGTTTAATACAGGATCCATGTTCTCTCCTTTACACATTGGATAAAGAGGAATTTGCAAAAGGCAAAATCTATACCCATCATGGTATCTTTACAATTTGTATTTTTTTATGACTCTCACATCTTCCTCTAATGTTAAAAAAACCCAAAACTGCTAGAAATATTTATTAAAGGAGCCTTCCTCATAGTCCGTCTCTAGCCAGGGCTACTGCTGAATGCTTCACATGTAAAAGCCCAGAATAGTTCTGCGCCTAACGAAATAACTACAGCCAGAATTTACCTCCTTACCTAGGCTGGCAATGGTTTAGGAGCAATGCCTGTTGGTGTCCACAACCTTTAGTTAGCCACGTGTCTGCAGACTGCTGCTGCTTTCCACACACCTCCGCCACGAGCCTTGCAGCCGTGCCCATGGGAGACCACGGGGAGACGGCGCAGTGGAAGAAGGTTCCCTTGAGTCTCCCACCATTGCCAGTGGAGCCAGGCCACCATCTGCAGCCCTGTGCCCGGCCCGCATACCCTGGCCACATCCCAGCCTCCTCCCGTCTGCTGGGGTTTCCACACCTGCCACCGGGTCATCTTTCTCCTAGAAGTAATCACAGAGTAAGTACAATGCTAACTCTAAGCTACCACTTCGCCTACATGCCAAAGCCTGAGTCCCTTTCAAAAACGCTGAGGGGCCTCCTGATCTATTTACAGGGGTTTGCAGTCTGCTGCCCTGCGCTTCTCTCTTTCGAATGAAGGTGTTCAGCATCATATCTCAGGGGCCCTGTTTCTCCAGCTGAATGGAAATGAAAGCTTCTGGAGGCCTAAAAAGGGAGCAAAGGCATGGGAGTTGAGAAGAATCACCTCTCAGAAGCTAAACTAATAACAACCATCTGAACTACTCAAATAACTTCTCTAGATTAGACATAGCTTCTCCAATGACATTCAGTTTACTCGTTGCTTGTATGAAACAGATATAAATACATTGGATCTTGTGGGTCATCTGCAAGAGATGAGATGAGCTCTGGTGACAGTCTCCCAGTCTACATATCTTTAATTTCAGTGCAAATGAAAGAAATAGTGACAAAATAAAAAAAATAATGTACCTCCTTGTACTGGCATTATGGCAGTAACAGGAACCATGAGGCTGCCGGGGCTAAGCTGGGCACGTTGAATGCCTTTTTATTTATATCTTCGAAGCACAGGTTGTTCAATTAGCACAGCGTTTTCAGTGCTTGACTTCCAGCTGATCAGCGTTCATTGTTATAAAAAAATTACTCTAACTGGGTCTTGCCAGTACCTTGTTAGTACACAGTACCCCATGTAAAAGCCAGGGAATGGGGCCAAGGAATAAGTAAATAGGCATTCAAGCGCTGAGACCAAGCTCTGTTCTGCCAGAGGACCAAAATCGTGTTTGATGCCTGTACCCTGGCTCACTTATTATTTCTCATAATTTTGCAATGTTTTCACCTGCAAACTCACTGATGTTTAGAAACTCCTACGAGATACCTGGATTTCCTCCTTCAAATAACAGGTTATCTCCATGAGGTTTGACCAGTCTCAGACCTCTAATTCACACGAAGAACCAGGGCATCTGGGAACGTGCCCTGACAGTCAAGAGGCCACCACTGTATTCCATCATGGTGGAGGCCCAGGGTAATTTAAAGCAGGTAGTGCTTGGGATTCACATGTGTACCAGACTGACCTCTACCCAGTGGAGGTGAAGTCCATAATACCTTTTAACGGTACAGAGTAAACCTGGAGAACGCGCAGGAGAAAATTAAGGGGCCAATGTGGCTGCTTGCAGCAGCTGATCCTCTGTTTCACTCCCAGACACTGAATTTCTTCCACTTGCTGAACTGCTCTGACTTGTTAGCCTTATATTTCCTTCCTAAAATATCATGAATATCAATTCTGTGCTTGGTCTCATAAAGACTGACAGTTCTTCCTACTAAATCAATGCAGATTTGCAATTCTGTATGCTTTCATTTACCCTAGCTTTATGATATAATAATTCACTGGGTTCATTGAAAGTCACAGAAAAAAAACATTTCTCATTGAGCACAGGCATAATGAAACTGTAGCAGCAACAGAGTCAGAGACAGCACCCGATTTATAAATCAGACAACATTCTCAACATTCAATCAGCTGCGAATGAAATATGAATATTCCCAGATATTCATATTTTCAAATGTGTACAAATAATTGTATATCTATCTCACTTGTCTGGAAAATCAGTTTGCCTCCCCACAAACACAAAAACTACACTCAGGCTCCCACACTGCCTGTGTAAGTCTCAGTGGCTCCTGGTAGGAAGGAACCTCAGAAATGTCTTCTTATTTATGTAAAAACAAGCCTAACTTTCAAGTAGGAACAAGTGGTACTTTTCTAAGTTCTTGAAGTCATATTTCAAAGGTGGCGCAGGCACTTTGCAATCCAGTTTTCTTTGTTTTTCCATATCAGTTGCAGGGGGCTAAAAAAGCATGCTAATTCCCCTGCAAGCCAAGGAGAACTATTGTCTTTTGCATATAGTGGGAAAGGGAAAGATCAAAATGGGGCAAAAAGCACCATGTTTTGAGAGTTGAGTTCCTTCTACTAAGTACTAGCTTGGCTTGGGTTAGTGCCAGCTTGCAGATGGGTCTACCGCAGAACATCTTTGCTCTGCTGTAGCAGAAAATGGACTTCTTACCCAGAGGACAGTTCCTCCCGCTTTAATACAACCTATATTAAAAAAACAGCAGTGAGCAACTTCCTGAGAAGTAAATGGGCAGTGACATTTCTGAAACGAGGACATAGTTCCTGACAAATACTTCAGCCTATAGAGAGTCAGTACGGAGAAGGTGGGCACTGAGGTTACGAATATATCAGAGTTTGCCATTCTGAAGGTCCTAGACCAGTATCAAATGGGCTGGCCTGCATGAGGGCTTATTGCATGGTGAGATTGGGTTGGTTAAGCCTGTACCCTTCATGGCACAGCCCATAGGTTTTGGTTAGCAACCATCCAGATCAGGGTGGATGCTGCAGAGCACACAGCTCCCTCAGCATCACGCAACCAGCTCTTCTTCACATGGACGGAAGGGAGATGCCACGGGCCTTGGCCTGTGTTGGGTCTGCAACCATACCACCCGCGGCACTGGTGGGTCCCTCCGCGTGGACACAGCATGTGACATCCTGCAGCCATCTCCCTTTCCTATAGAAGGAGGTTATACAAGATTTTTTCCAATTTTACATGTAAATCTAGAACAACAAATCCATGACCTCCTTATCATTGCCTCTGTTGGTTGTATTAATTGTCATCTGTGTTTGAGTTTGATTAGTTAGCTGATATCCACTGAATGTAAATCAGCAAAAACTGATCCAGAATGGGTGCAGCAGCAATTAAATGATTTACAGAGGATAGGAGACATCTGAAAACAAAAAATACAGTCGCTGCCATTCTGTGGAAAAGAAACCTTTCAGTATTTAGGCAGTAAAAGAGCTCCGAATGTTGGGCAGACCAATCCTTTTCAACTAGCTGATGAAGAGCTATTTCCAGAGTAAGACTACTCATGGCTATCAGCAGAGACACACAACACCAGCGCTTTGTATGGCAGCACAGAGGATCGATTTGGGAAACAACCCAAGGTTGCTCAGTTCCATGAGGATTTCAGTGCTGCAGAGACTGATGAGAAACGAAGACTGGGAATCTCAGACTTCTCTGTGAGAGGGTATGGAAACCAGCCTCTGGGATGGACTAGACCGTGGCCAGCCCTGGGAGACTGCACAGCTGTCCATCCAGCTGCCAACGCCCGGGTGCCCACCAAGAAGCTGCAGAGTGCAGCAGCTCCCTGGGACACGGCCCACACACTGCCGAAAGCTGCATGAGATCGGTGGTGCGAAGGGTTCCTGCTCTAGAAGCAAGCAGGAGGCTCTGGCCACACGGCACTGAGCTTTCTTCTGGTGGACCGTCAGGATACCAGTTTGTTTGGGTCAATGGATGTCAGCTGTATGGTGCAGAATCACTGTCCTGCTCGTGTCGGGGCAGGATACAAACCATGTAGTAGTGAAAGAAGTTTGTTCTGGTGCAGTTGGAAGTCTCTAGTGTGAGTCTTGGCCCTGGGAGCTCCCTTACATTCATCTCCAGCGTAAGGGAAGAAAGTATATAGGACACTACTCTAGGAATGGCAATTCATGCTCCGGAGCTTGCAAATCACAGCTGCATGAGATGTCTTTCCCTCCCTTCCCCATGCTGCAGCTCTGAGTGACCCAAAATGAGACAACGGGGAGTCATGACAACGTCTATTTTTCATTTGTAAACTCAGAAAGAAACTGGTCTCACACAGGAGATGTTTTAGCCTCTTTCTCTTCGCTGGTTCAACCCATCTCTAACAACTTTTGAACTCTCTGACTAATTTTAAATACATTTGACGTAAGAACAGATGTCTCAAGGGTATAAAGCTCCTTCCAGTTTTGCAAAATCAGCATTCAGCTAGTGAGGAGAACCCCGCGCTCCAGGAAAAGGCAACAGAGATTGACCCCCAGCTATTTTGCTTGGCCTGCTCAGCTCCCCAGAGGCAGCATCCACCTGGGCTCGCAGCTGGGGCAGCTACGCAGCAAAACATGGGCACTGCCCATACACAGGAATGAGCTGAGGATACGGCCTGGTGGCAAGGGACTGAGCACGGTGAGCGCTAGGGGTGCAAGAGGGGCCTGAGCGGGGATGGATGGGGTGTCCTAAGGAACATGGAAAGAGGTGTCAATATAAGCACAGAGAAGGCAAGACAAGCCCTAAAGAATCTCTATTTGCTTATGAATTCAACATTGCATATGAGGTCACTTAGCTCGTGTGTAATGCAGCTGTCTCTGGAAGAGACACAACAGCTGCTTGAGAAAATGCATCACAGAGCCCTACGATGATTTAGCATGTATGAAGCAAGGGCAGCTCCTGAGCACCATATCTTAAACACAGGATGAAAAAAGCAAGCCAAATGTAAGACAAGGAACAGTAATGGCTTGTTAACCCTAGCAGGTAGCTTTTGAACCAACATTGTGGCATCAGGCTGAAATGAGTGTTTCCCATTGGAAATAGTGTTGACCACACTTCTGTTTTCAGAAGACAGGATGAATGAAAGCAGCAGGAACTGATGGTTTCCCCATCCCAGAAGAATGCATATTTCAAGGTCAGGTTGTGATTGCTAGCCTTACTGCATGCCACAGGCTATAAGATTTCACTTGTGCCTTTTGAATCCAATTCATCTCCAACCTCTTTCAGTCCTCTCTTGAGGTATATTTTTAGCTATGCTCCATCACTTACCCAGCTAATAGACTTTAAATAAAACACTGATGTGACACCATTTATTTTTATGTCATATGCTAATACACAATCACTGCAGATCCTGCAGTCATCAGTGATGCTGTTCCAAGTGTTGCGCAGGACTACCATCCAATTATGCTTATAAGTAGAATTAACAGATACACACTTTGGGCGAAGTCAGACAAAACTCATTACTAGTCCATTGTAAGGAAGAAGATGCTGCTAACCTTTATGTCCAGGGGACTGGGAGGCTGGACCAAGTAACAAAAGAAGGCTTGCTGAACAGCTGCCAAAAGTGCGTTTTTCTGAATGATCTGACAGGCCAGGAGAACTTGCATATTCCTTATTCCAGATGGACACCAGAGCTAAGGAGAGGGAAAAGAACGTGTCAGGCATTTCACCTGCCATTTGAAAGGCCAGTTTCTTTACAGACATCACGCTCTGTCTTGTACTACTTCAGCAGCTTAATTTAATTAAAGGAGGGGTAAGGGAGAGCATTCTATTATATTTGTATGCGTTGTTATCATTGAAACGTGACTGAATGTAGAGATCAAGGAAACCTTTCGTTCATTTGTATTTAGTGAGTTAAATTCTCAGCTCTACTCTGTAGAGCAGGACGGTGCCAGACAGTGCAGCCAAGTGCAAACAGGCTGCGAAAGGCATAGACACCAAATAAAACATACTTGTTTCTACCTGGCATATTTTTAACTATATGCCACCCTGCTGCAGAGTACAGGTCATGACTGAGTTGATGGCAGGAAGGAGACTTTGTGGAGAGTTTTAAAGAAGAAATCCCCATAGTGTGGCACTGTGGGATACTGGTTTTATACACTCATACAAAAAGGAAAGGACTAAGTATGCAAAACAGCATTGAAGACTAAGGGCATTCTCTTTCATTACAGGATTCTCGATGCCAAATATTGGTACTATGTGTGCATACAGCCATACACAGGCACCTTGCTTTATTTAGCAGAGTTCCTCAGACTAAACTCTGCTGATTTAAAGAGTTTCATCACAGTAAGCCTCCCTGGATTAGGTCACATTAACAATCAAATTTTCAGTGCAATTTTATGAAGTTAATTATAAAACAGTAGACTAAATCACATTATTTTTCAGAGAAAGACAAACTATAGAGAAGTTTATAGTGTCTAGTAAACACATGACTGAGGCCCTTTTATATTCTAGCAAATAAATAATAACATAATACATATTTTTTGCTGATTCTGTAAATTAAATTGTTCACCTGCATAACACCATCTCTTGTACGGAAACTAAACTTTCCAATATGACTGCCAATTTCTTGGATGCTTAATGGTAAGCTAGATGGAATGTATCTGGAACGAAAGCAGAACTATCTATGAACATAGAGCATGACAGAGAAATAAGCCAAACTGAGGATGAAAATAGTGATAAATTCAGAAATACTTTTTGTTTCTTTCCCCAGTTAAATTTAGAACACATAACAGAATGGGTCAGTCTAGTCCCTAATGACTTTACGATGTTGCTTTAGTTTTCAGAAGTAGTTTTGTAAGAAAAAGAATATATCCTATGTTCCTAATGTGTTTTTTGGTGCTGCTGTACTGTCTTCTGGCCTCTGCTATCCGTCACTGCCCCAGTTCAATTAGGAGCTGAAGATGCATTCCATGTTGCTTGCAATTGCTACAATTGTTTGGAACAGCCCAATTTTCACAGCAGCCTAAAGTGTATGCAAGTGACTAGGATGCAAACAACAGCACGGGACTGGAGGTGGTACACGTAGAGGTCGGAAGGGAGCCCTGCCTCCCGTGTTAGCCATAGGGAATGACTGACAGGATGCTCTCCCTGAATATAGTAAGATAATTCACAGGTTATTTGCTTTCTTCCTCCTAAACATCACTCTAAAATACACACAAACCAGTGTATTTATGTGTGTGTATAAATGCACATATTTACCAACTCTTTAAAGAGTAAATCAAGGCAACTGTAAAATCTGCTTGTTCCAGTCACTTTCCTCAGGGGAAAAGAGAAGATAAAAAATAGCCTTTTCCTTGTGCAGACATTGGGTCTAGTAGTCACTGAGTTGAAAAACAAAGATCAAAGATGCCACTTCGTGAAGTGCGGTATAACTCTAGGAGAATAAGCTTTCTTCATGCTCAGAATAAGGACTTTATTCACAACAGTTTTCAAGGTCCCATTTTGCTACCTATGGGGGTTGGGGAAATCACTTTCAGGCCAGCCCCGTTAGGCGTCCCTCACTTTGAAAGAAAATGCACTTTAGATCCAAAATTGCCAGCATTCCACACAAATCTGGTGTCTCCCCACTTCCACTGCTCAACAGCTTTGAATTAGCGTTATGCTGTCCCAGACTTTACATAAAAATGAAACAAATCATGCAGCATTTTATATTTTCTGCCTGAATAATGTTATGTATTTTACACACTAATCTTTTCGTGGCTTATATACAAGCCTAAGCAGACTAAAGGCTTGATCCCCTCCAATCGAAAGAGATTATGTCCTGTGAAACTCAAAAAAAGTTTAGTCTACCTGTCATCTTCCAGGAGAGGTGTAATGAATATTGGTGGGAGGTGGTCTGCTTTCTCCCTGTGAGATGCAGATTCAAAGAGCACGGGCCTCAGGTACAAATGGAACTCCCCAAATCCTGCTTCCATTGCAAAAGCCTTATGTAACCTAGAAACAAAACCACACGGATACATCTAAAAAATGAACTTTCTGACTGCCGTAAGCAATGCACACCTAGAAACCTGCATCCATCAGGTTCATTTCAATGAGACATCTGCATTCAACTTAAAACATTTCTTGGTGTCTGAAATAGTATGGTGGATACGAAGTAAGCGTTGTACCCAGATAGCTGATGGTTGCTTAGTATCGCCCATTCGATTGACACAGACAGCGCTTACAAAGGACAATAAGTTGTGAGGCTACAATGTCATAAGGGAAAATCAAGGGATATATGTTAACTGTTCCTATTTAGAAAGGACTGCATTTGTCAGAGAGATGAAGAATATTATTTTAGATTAGAAATTGAGAAGAGGACTGACTGCCAGAGAGGAAGCTTCAATAGACAAGCAGAGCTCGTACACACTACTACTATTAAAATAGTGACTTCATAACTTCAGAAACGTTTATTCTAGAAGCCCCCAGCACAACACAACCCCAATACTACCTCTCCTATCTAACAAATTATAAGGGCAGTCCATCAGCAGACAGTAAACACACGGTCTAAGTACAACCACCAGCTCAGGAAATCTTTAAATCACCAAGGGTCAGAAGTTGGGCACTGTCCTGGTTTTTGTGCTCCCTCCCTATGGATCCATCACTGCACTCCTTCAGACGCAAGACCAGAGAAACACTGATCTGGCCTGTGATAGCTCTTCTCATGTAGTGTAAGAAGATGCTAAATAGAAAGATTTTGACTTTTTGATGCAGACTGCAAAGGAATAAGATAGGCCCTTGCTTCCTCCTAACATGAAAGGCAGGTGTTTTATCAGTCAAGAAATCAGGTCACAGAGAAGACATGTTGTGAGAATGTGATAAACACACAAATAGGACCTAGAAGACACAGCCCTTAGTCATTTAGAATCAGGTAGCATTCCCTGCCTGCAAAGTAAGAGAAAGAAAAGCAGAGGAGACAAACTAGTATATGAAAGACCCCATGAGCATCAATCAATAAACATATGGAGCACAGCCAAAATCAAATCAAAGGTCTTGAAACAAAGAGCTCTGTGTAATTATTATAAAAGTTGCTTTCTTCGCTGACCAGTAGAGATACATTAATAGCCTGTACAAAACAGACATCGGCACACAAATCAGCCTATTATTACTGTGTAAAGGCGAAAAACAGACAAAAAGAAAAGATACTAAAAAGGTGACTGTGTCAAACAAAACCAGACAGAAGCAAAATTCAGACTAAAGCTGCACTGTCTAGCTCTACTATTCTACCAAAGCACGTCCCTTTTCATCAGACAGTAGAAGATGAATACGGAGAAAACAAGGACTGAGGAACACTGAGGAACAAAGAGAAGCGACAAGGGCCAGAAGGAACAGTACACACAACATAAACGTGTACTTTCAGATGTGAATGACTTTTCACTCCAGGAATGGAAAGAGCCAAATAATGGGAGTTAATTATGGCAGGGGGGCCCCCAAAAACCGATAGAAGGAATCCACAAATGTAGGTGGACTCACTTCATTTTACTCTGCATAGCAGGAAAAAAGGTTACTAACCTTTCTGATGTTTCAGTCTGAATCTGAGCCTGTAACAGTTCACATTATAATGAACTGTGCACTTCATCACATCAAAAGAAGATGTAAAAATAGCACATCAAAATGTCACATTAAATAAACTATATAGGTTTATTCTGGTGTTTAGACTGACTTAACCATCTTCTACTAAATGAAGATAACGTTCTGCTTAATGGTCTTACATATGCATCATGAGGTCTTACATTTTGTCATAACTTTCCACTGAATTCACACCCTGGAAAATTACAATTTACTGCTGTTTTTCAGGGATTTCTAAGTATATCACCTCAAATGAGTATGCCCTCTTAGCCCTGTTCCTGAAAGAAATGCAGCCATGTGATGCTCCGGTCTGCCCATCTGTTTCCTCTGGATAACTTTTAAATCAGTTGGTAAATATTAATGAAATCTGACACAGAGACAGGGCTTTCAAGATATTAAGTTCCTACAGGTCTAATGAAAAAAAGGTGACTGGATATTGATTTTTCAGCTAAGTGAACAGTTGCAGTGTAACCTTACCCCTATTAATTATCAGAAAATTTATGTGTGTGTGTGTGTGTGTGTATGTACGTGTATGAGTGAAGCAACACAGAGATAACTCAACCAGCAGAAGAAGTTTAACAAGAAGCTGTATTTTATTAGAAAGCTGAGTATCCAAACAAGAAACACAAATTGCCAAGAAAGGAGACCTTGCTTCATGGAATTTCTTGGGTTGAAGTAAATTAACCTGTTTGTTAGTTTGCCTAAGAAAGTTCCGGATATCAAACTATAGTTCAAGAGATTCTTGTTTCAATGGAGAAGAGTTGTGACAGAAAATTAGGTTTTCCACCAAAGTAAGTTGACTGGTTGTGGCTCATATATCTTAAAGATGTCTTGGTTTTCAGCTGCTGAATACAAATGCTGCCGAGTTTTTGACACAGACTCTAAATTTTCAAGCAGAAAACTAGAGAAAGGGTTAAGACAAAGAAAAACCACGAATGGAATGTCATCTATCCTACACACCCAACTTTGCGGCAAATCCTTTTCATAAATGAATCAAGCCCCATTTAAAACTGTTGGTTTTCTATCCTTTGCTCATTCCCTTCCAGAACTTTGTTGTCTGTTTCTTAGAAATCCCCTATTAATGTCCAACTTAATTTTATTCACAGTGATTAGATCCATTTGTTCTGCTGCCAAAATTGGCCTTTATCTTAAATAGCTCCTCTCCATTCCCTTTGCTTTTCTCACTGGTGTATTTACAGAGAACAATTTTATCTTCTCTCAGCCTTCATTTTGCTAAGATAAACAAGCCAAGATATTTCATTTGCTTTTGTAAAATAAATTCTCTATTTCCCCTCAGCATGATATTAGATCATCTTTTCTCCCATTCCAATCTGAATTTACCTTGCCTGAACACAAATCTCCAAATTATACTTAACAATCTAGGTGAGGCCTCACCAGAATCACGTACACGGCATCAATTCTCCCTCTCTCTACTGTTAACAAAACTCATTGCCTGATTCACAGTAAGATATCGTGGCTTTTTCCTCCCAACAGCTGCAATATGTTGGCAGTTTACAATCATCTGATGGCCAGCTATACACCACCCAGTTCTTTCTCCTCCTCTGTGCTTCCAACTAATAAGCTCAAAGTTCACAGGAGAATTTCCTATTATTAAGCTTTGTGTTATTGATGCTTATCTCCTTTCTGCTACTCCAGTCCTTAGAACTGTGAGTTCTTCCTGTAAGATATTCCATTTATTTTCCATATCAGTTTTATCTGCCAGCACCACAATGTCCTGAATTTAATAACACCCTCTTACTTTTTCTGCTGAGACCACTAATAAAAATGTCTAGTAATATGGGGTTGAACAATAGAAACTTCACCAATAACCTGCCTCTGAGCCAGCAGTTCAACACTACCCTTTGTAGTCTCCCCATTAGTTCAGTCCTTATCTTCTTTATATTCCTGTACAAACTGTCAACTTCTCCATCTGTTAACTCCTTAAATGTATGGCACTGACTTCCCTTGTGTAGATTATTTCATCATCTTAGCAAGGATCAGCATAGCCAGAACAATTTTTATGCTTTGCTACCTGTGGTGGTGAACGAAGCTCGTACTTCTTGTGTGCCTTTTCTTATATTGCACTACTCTTTGTAAGAAGGCAGCTCAAATAATGTGTGTCTGTAAAACTCTGCAGAAGGCGGCATCTTTGTGTTCATTTGATCAGTGAATTCCTCATGCTCCTCCTCCTTTTGACAAAATTTTGATATTTTCACTAGGAAAGGGCCTGTCCCGTTAAGCTTTGAGGAGCTGCACGGCCTCTGATCTTTTTCTCAACTTTTGAAACTAATGAACATCTGCAAACCCCAGGTAGACTCCACCTCCACATAACAAGCAAACATATCTCCCACAACACAAATGCAGGCACTCTCCCTCTCTCTGTGTTTTTGCCCAACTATGGTAGGTGGTCTATTTAAAAGACGTCATTTTTTTCCTACAGACCACAGGTCTCTGAGGGTCACCACCTCCATCAGCCTATGGCAGAGCATGGCAAGCTCCAGGAGCGTGGAGAAGGAATCCAGGATAAAGACCTGCTTTTCACTGTCTGTCTCTTTTTCTTCATCTGGTCCCACCTCTAATAGTGACAAAGCAATCTCTTGCACCAGCGCAGGGTCTTCTATCAATACCTCGGTAAATAACTGCAAGGAAAGGGGGAGGAAAAAAAGGAAACAGATAAATCATTTAGATACAGATGACAAAGGTCTTTAAATACTTTAGGGGACCATTCTACTTGTTGTTTTTCTGGACTAAATCCTGACTGGAGTTACTTCTGACTTGCAGCCCATGCAAGGTCAGAATTGTGCCCACCCTGACCTATACTGACCCCTAAAAATACACTGGTTTTGCCACTTGCTTCAAAGGTTAAGACACTGAACCTATAAACCTGGTTTTACTCAGAGGACTTACCAAAGTTTGATTTATTTTTTTATATCTAACACAGCATATTTGCCTTTTTTGTTATAATCAAAATCCAGACAGCTTTCAGATGTATGTATCTCTAAAGCAGGGGCTCTGTAACTTGGTTCACTTATTACAAGCTGAGGCCATTCCTCCTCTAAAGAGCGTGCAGATCCCAGCACACGTGCCACTGTATGTGTGATGCTCCCAAAACAAGGACAGCAAACTCACCTGGTCAGCTAATTCAGCAGATCTGGACCCCTTTTCTACTGGGATGGTGGGAGCCTCCAAAAGAGCAGAAACCCCAGCAAATTAAAATGATCAAAAGCTGCAGCTTCATAATGTGGGGAGCTGGAAAGAAGGCAATGGTCGGTTGGCTGTTGTGCTTTGGAAGCGGTGGCAGAAACAGCCCCCAGCTCTGCGTGCAGGAGAAGATGCTCCTTGTCTCTAGCTGTCAAAACCTGTACAACTGTGCCACCCTGCTCATGTCAGATGGGACAGATAGAATGGTAAGGGTTGGAAGGGACCTTAAACATCATCTGGCTCGAGACCCTCTGCCATGAGCAGGGACATCTTCCACTAGACCAGGCTGCTCAAACGTCCGCACCACCTGGTCCTGAACACTTCCAGCAAGGGGGCAGCCACAGTTTCTCTGGGCAACCTGTTCCAGTGTTTCACCACTGTCACGGTGAAGAATTTCTTCCTAATATCTAATCTAAATCTGCCCTCTTTTAGTTTACAGCCATTCCCCCTAGTCCTATCACAACACATCCTTGTGAAAAGCCCGTCTTCCTCCTTCCCGTAGGGCCCTTCAGGTACTGGCAGGCTGCTCTAAGGTCACCCCGGAGCCTTCTCTTCTCCAGGCTGAACAGCCCCAACTCCCTCAGCATGTCCTCGTAATGCAGGCACTGCTATAGCTGAGTGGCTTCACACTTCGTTGCACATGACCAACGAATCACAGATCATGAGGAAATCTGCACTCAGCCATGCAGTTATTAGTAATAAGAGTTTAGATTTCAACATCTGCCATTTGCTACACCTTCCCAGCTACACTGAAAAAAAAAAGTTTGAAAAGACAACACCCCAAAGTTAAGTGTCAGAAGTTGCGAAACTTTATTTTGACCCTCTTCTCCAGTACTTTACAACAAGATTTTGTAATTCTATGACTCTGGATGGGTGGGACAGGACAACCCGTCTTCATGTGTTTCTTCACAGAGCTGCTAAAAGGACAATAGCATCTTCTGTATTTCCAAAAAGGACAAGAGAAGAGGTAATAAGCTTTGACTGTAGCGAGGCAGATCCGTGCTAGACTTTGAGGAGAACTTGATAATGGTGAAGCTGGTGAAGCACTACAACAGACCACTTGGAAAAGCCTATCACATGACGTGTTTAGGACAGTTACTTATCTCATGGGAATAACATAAGTATAGCTGATCCTAGTTTGGGGTGAGAGAGAAAGATCTCACAGATTCCCCAGGATCATTTACTCTTGTAATTCCAGAATTCACTTTTCTTTGTATATGGCTCCTCTGATACTTCTACATAGGAAAAGCACCTGTTCCCAGGCTGGCAGCATCTGTACCTCACCCCTGGGTAATTCATTTGTTATGAAGTTGAAAGACATTTTGGAAGTCAGATGGGAAAAAAGTTGAATCTTGTAAACTGTCCTTAGTGAAGGGTTGGAAAAACATGAAAGAATGAGGTCCAGGATCACAAAAAGAACCGCCCAGGAAGGACAGAAATGATGATTCTAGCATACCAAGTCATAAAGAAAACAGTATGTGATCACATGAAGACTGCATCATTATGCCTATGCAAAAGGAAACCAAATGAAATCTGCTCTGGCAAAAGTCAATTTCCTAAAATTTAAATGCTTGACTTTTACAAGCTTAGTGTCTTCTAAACATTGCCTGCTTGTGTGCATTTGTCTCATCTGCAGCCTCTGTTGGAGGAAAAGGAATGGGCAAGAAGTAAACACAACAAACCCCCTCCCTTTCCCCCTTGGCAACAGAAGTGTGGTAACTTTAAGATCCATCACAGAACTCTGCCACTGACTTCTAGGATTCAAAGTTCAAAAAGCAAAGAGTCATTTGTGATCTGCTGTGGACAAGAGAGTAGTGGGACACTGGCAATGGATTTCACTGGCAGCAAAGAAGTGCTGGATAAGCAATTCTTGGGTTTTGCTCTGGGGCAGAGAGGGGAGCATCCTAGATGGCTGTGCCCTTCTGCCTTAGTTTGTATCTATACTTTCCTACCTACCATAGTCTCCACAGTCTCTTCTTCTCACCATTTCTGTCTCCATGCCACAAGCTTTTCATTTTCATCCCCACTCCCTTGACTAACAAGTCCTGCTATCATTGGTTTTGGGCAGCTGGAGCCAATCTCTTCACCAAACACTTCTCAACCCTCCACTCCCTCCTGAGCTGCTTGCTTGCCCCAGCCCCAGTTTTCTGGGCACTTTCTTCCCCATATCTTTTTTTTCCTTTTGGAAGGAACTCACTGGGTCTTAGTCCTAGGCTCTGTCTTCCAGCTTTTCATCTACTCCAGTCTTCATTTCTGTGTACTGGCTGCCATCCCACTTACCAAGCCAGCTGTATTTTCCCAGCGCTCCTGCCCATGTCCCACTCCACTAGCAATGCTGCCATGGCTCCAGTGCGATCTGCTCGGCCAGCTGCCTCCACTGCCTCCGGTGAAGGCAATGCGAGTGACAGAGAAGGCCAGCAGCTCCTTGCACTCACTTTCAATGCTCAGACGCAAATCAAACGTGGATCACTTAGACCAGAGCTATTACTGCAGTGGAAAGTCCTGATTTGCCTGAGGTTGTAGATATATCAGGGCACACAGAAACTTCAGATAATGTGTTCCTACTGAGCATGTTACAGTAGCATAGTTCAGTTTAGTTTATGCTGGCCAAACTTGGCAGGAATGAAAGCATAGCATATCATTACCTAATGAGTCTTCCCAAACTTGAAATGCATGCTCCAAAGCATATCTGTATCACAATCTTTCAGAGAAAACAGATAAAATCACTTATTTTCCATTTCTTGCTGTCAGCAACAACTAAGCTGATTAATTAAAAAAAAAAAATCAACCTGATAGAGACATCCAGCATCAATAATTTCATTCACAATCATTAGCATTTATCGAAATTATAACCAACCAAATTCAGAGTCCCACACCAGGAAATGGTGGACATTACGGTAATAACTGGCTCCACCTATAACAATATTTGCTTTAATGTCCAGTCTTTATTTTTTTTTTTTCCAGACTGTACACAAGCACAAATGCAAAATCTGGAGACTTACTGTGACCTCATGTCAGTTTAAGTGTGTATATTTTCCTTCTCATTAAGCTGATCGTTCCTACTTTATACTGGCATAATATCAAGAGTTCTACCTTTCTGTGTTCATTTACAGAAAAAACCCCTTGTTTTAAAGGTGGATGGAATGGATCTTCACCAATCATAAGCAAATAATTGAATTCAGAATCACATAGCTAGAACTTTAACCAGCAAGTGTAAATGAGTTAAGAAGATCACACTGTTGGGCATTCTCCTTTAAAGAGTTATTACTGACACAAAAATGGAACTCTGGTTTCTGGTTTTTCCACAGTTAGCCACTCATCAACTACTAGCTGAAGTACTTGTTTTTCTAGATTACTTGCTTTACTGGCTGTTTTTGGTCTGCAGATGCTGTAGAATTCCTGGTAGATATACTCAAGAGTTTTGGGGGTCAAGCACACCAGACCAAGAGAAGGGTCAAACTCCAGAAAATAAATGTTCTTCAAAGTAGGACTTAAAAACAACAAAAAAAAGAATAACAAAAGTTACAATAATGAAACAAAGAAAAAATGGCTCTCAGATAAGACTTTTATAAATGGTACTTATAAAGAAACCTTGCAATTCCTTAATTTGCAAGAATAAATTGCAATGGCTTTAGTGCACAGCAGAAATCAATCGTCAAATCTGAAAATAGAACTGAAGCCTTAATAAATGTAATTATGTTCGAACACATCTAAGTAGTCTCATTTGCTAATGAAAACAAAAAATGTTTAAAATTCTTTTTTGTTAGCCGACATGTTTTATTCACTGCATTTTCACATCTATTATGCCCGCCCATTAAAACTGTCTGCACTTGAAAATAAGCCCTCAGATAACCAACGCAAAATCAAAATATGTGTTGGGGAACGAATCGGGCCAAGGGGCTTGAGGCAGAGGCAGGAAACCAGAAGGGACCAGAGACAAGCGGCTCTTGGCTTCTGGGTGTGTGTTAGCTGCTCTGTAAAGCCTTTGCATAACCCGCGGTGCTGCACAGCTGCGGGATGGGGAACACGGGGCAGGTCTGTACCACAGGTAATATGCAGATTCCACGCATGAAAACAGAGTGCACGCACATCCAACCTGACAGTCGTGCTAGAAAGAGTAATAGACTATGGCCAAAGGGTATGGAAAGTTGTGAAGCCAGGTTGGGATACTGATGCAGTGAGTCTAAATGGAGGCTAACCTCATTATTGGCATTCATCATTTCTGTTTAATGGTCTGCACCCACGGAAATATTAACGTCCCAATGCACTGCAAGATGCCATTATCGAAACCATAGTCATGAAAGGGCAGTGTAAAGGTGGTGAGGGAGGAATCACTTTTCTTCTTGGAATGTTCTTCTGACTATCTGAATAGCGTAATACTAATAACACGAGACACTCATCTACTGCTTGATTCACCTTAACACTGTCATTTTTTCAAGTAGTCTTATTTTTAGGTGCTGGATCCCAAATTTTTACAATCACAGAAACTAGAACAGAACGAGGTACTCTCCAGAAAAATAAAATTGTGCAATTACTCACCAGCTAGTGTTAAGACAGATAAGCTGCTTAGTAATTACACTATAAGGAAGTCCAAATTCACCGATGTCACCTCTCTGAACTTCCCGCCAAATCTTGTGGACATATTCCCTCTGGACATTAATCTAAAACTCAACAATAAACACAAGTGACATCAGTCAATAAAATTCACACATAGCTAGAAATCAAGGCAAAACCAGCTATTCTTCATTCAAATACAAGCTGCAAAAATTTCTATTTTTATATATATATAAATTTTCAAGTCAATTATCTATGTACCCACTCTAGATGAATTCTTACTGCCAAAATTATTTTGAATCTTTCATATTCTTTCAGAAGAAAATCTGAGCTCCAGCGATGCTGACAAGGTTCCATTTTTATTGCTAGCAATGTGGTAGCTTTAGTGGCAACAGCAGCAGCACAGTAACCTCTTGTACCAAAACCCAAACTTCTGTTTGTGGACTAAAAGCCAGGTTACAAAGGTGAGCTAATTAAACTTCCCAGTTTGCAGTCTCTGAAACCAAAGCTCAGAGAAATGAAATATCTTGTGGCAGGATACAGTGCAAAGCTGAGGCAGATTTTTAAGCCAGAGGAAAAATGTGAGGATTTCAAATGTTGAGCTTTAATTATTAGCACGGGAATTCACAGCTATCTGAAATACACTGCTTTTCAAAGTGTACTTTGAAGTACAAGCTTTGTTTATATTCTTTGTAAAGTCTCTTCTCTCATGCTATAAACAGGACTAGTTCCTCATCCACTGCATTACAGAACAAATACAGATTATAATTTTATTTACCTTTCACACCTCTCAACTACTATTTCTAAGTGTCTCAAACAGTAGCAGATGTGGCTTTAACATGACATATGAAGCTCTGAAATCTTTCCAACATTTTCTTTCTGATCTTGATGAAATTATAGCTTTCTGCTTTTGAGTTTCAGGCCTTAAATTTACCAAGCATCTATAGAATTCATTGATAAATCAGTGTTGACCCATTTTAACATTGTAAACCCATGCAGGCTATAATCAAAGCTTCCCATTCTGGATTTCATCTCCTACATCCCCAAGAAGGATACACTGTAAATTCAACCTACTTGTTTGTTTACTATGTCCCTCAGCAGCTGGAGAGGAAGTTGCAAACAGATGCATTCATCCTTCTAGGTGCTGGCAAAATGTTCAAGCTTGAGATCAAATCTTAGTCATTTATGCATGATGTCAGTTATCACCTGGGCCAAAGCAAATCTTTCCTCTGGGTCCAAAGCATGTTGGTAAGCTTCAAAGTAAACATCTAGAAGCTGAAGAGATATTCAGAAGCACATTTAGAAATGTTTCTTCACCCAAATATACATTCTTTGTTGGGGAGAGTTCTGAACATGGAGTTTGCTGCCTGTATCAAACCAACAGTGACCCGGTATGGCATCTTGTTGCTGGCACAGGTTATTACTCGATGCTTCATCAGAAGGCTCAAGAACAGAATACAGAATAAACTGACCATACGAGAAATTTCTTCCAAATCTTGCATAGTTAACATGGTTTTCTTCTACTGAAGCATGAAGATTTTTATTCTGCACATTTTTCACTTCAAAAAGTAACAAGGCAATGTACTTGCCACTTCAAAAACACCTACTTCTTTCGACTCTAATCTATTCTCTGTTTCTTTTCCAGCACACACACTGGTTTCGTGTCTTTTAAAAGCTCCATTTCCTCCGACCTGAAACCTGCAGACTCTCTGTTATCTCATTTGGCAATGACTGTCACCGTTATTTTACATTTTCTGGAGACATTCCAAATTAATTGAAGATGTAATTAAAGATGTACAAAGGCACATGCCCTCTTCAGGCTCCTCTACCAGAATACCTGTAAAGTTTTATTTAAACAAAAATTTTAATTACAGACACCCACAGCTTAGGACAGAAAAAGAAATGTGCCAAGCACGACAGCACATGAACTCTCAAGATGACATTGTAGTATTTTTTGGTCAGATGGCAATTAGGGGATTGAAAACATGAATGGCCAGTGCTCTCACTTCTGAACAAATTGGACATGTCAATATGAAACGATCTACATCTGGGTATTTTACATTGACACAGACATATAAAAGCATCCACACCACTTTGCATACTGATACCAGAAGACTGTGGAAGAGCAAGATGCAGCAGGGCTTAGGGGGTAACTTGGTAGCTGAAAATTCAGATCTCAATGGAAACAAGTTTTCTGATGTAGACTTGCCTGACATGGACTGTTCTGGAGGAAACTAAGACACTGCGAAAGGCTGTAAGCAAGTTTTATACTGGCTAAGCCAAGCTGTCTCAGCTACTGGGCAAAGGGTTATCGTTTCCTCATTCAGCAAGAACTCTGTCCCAGCTGGAAACAAAGCTAGCGAGACCCACTTCCATCCTATTTCAGCTAAAAGCAAAAGACCTCCAGCAACAGCACATCTGTACACTTAATCCTGCCTAGAGAGTTGGGTTGTGAGAGCAGTTTCAGAATATGCTCTTTGATGGTTTTGGAAGAGAATTAGTGTATTGTCGCTGTAGAGGTTTCATTCTTCTCTATGGGGAGTTTTTCTTCCAAAAAGAAAGCAAGTTGCCTTATACAGAAGGCCTGTGATAAAAATCGAAGGTAGAGTCACAGAGGTAGCATGATCATACAGCCATGGAAAGCAAAGTCAATGGGGATGAGAACAGAAACTTAGTGAACTAGGCAATTAGACAATATTTTATATAGCTCTGTAACACAAAGCTCCTCTATGAAAATGGGAGAATGGCCTTAGGAGATTTCCTAAACTAGATATAACTATTTTAGTTTACAAGGTTTTCTATTTAAAGCCTCTTCGGTGGTACACAGGAGATTCCCTAACACCCTCTAGCATTCCTATCTGGAGAGCTGCCCTGAGTCACTTCAGGACTGAGAAAAAAACATTTCAAGTGTGTGAAGGCAACCTGAGTTAGTGCCATTTCTCCCTGCTTCTGAAGGGGTCAACCTGCTCCTTTCCGCTCCATGACGCTCACAGCATTGCCCTAGGGACGGGGGAGTCCTGTAGATGGAAACATGCTTCAGGCTCCTCTGGGTCCCTTCCTCTGAACCTGTCTACTCTCCATCTCTCAAGACTGAAGTCTGTGGGTAGAAACCCTGGATGCCTTCATGTCCCATGGCAAAATACAGACACATGACTGGATTCAGAAAGAGGAAGGGGAAAGTCAGCATCCCTCATGAATGGCAAAGCTACGAATCACTTCATACACATTTTTAGTGTTGGTTTGTTTGTTGGGTTTTTTAACTCTATACTAAATCATGGCATTTTTTGCTCCAATGGATTAACTAACAAAAATGAAAAAAAAAAAATTATAATGTATGTAGAATTATATATAGAAGTTTTATTAATAAATATATTACTTTTTATGCTGTAATACACAAAATCTCTCTCTGATTCCCTCTGACAATCCAAATGATGGGCCTAGCCAGCTGCAGACAGAGTCTCTCCTCCAGCGGCTTCACAACAATGCAATGACTACAGTTCTAATGACAGCCACGAAAGGTTTCCCGCACCAGTCCCAGAAAGCAGGGACAGCCAGGACCACAGAAAATCATTGCATCTTGGACTTCCTGGTGGCCCAGGCTCCTCAGGACTGGACCTGATTCTTTCTAGTCTGCATTTGCTCCATTCCCTAGCATGCAAGGAGTGACACAACATGCTCTGCAGTTTTGCTCTGGAGATGGCCTTGTCCTTCCCAGTTATCTTTCCCGCTTAACTATCCAGTGCTGGGCGACTCTCCCTACGGCCTTGCAGAAGTGCTTCCAGCCCCTGGCACAGCAGCTACAGAGGCTGCTGTCTGACAACAAAAGCATTTCTTCTCACATGTTGCAAAAGCCACTACATGTGTTCTTCAGACCCAAGACACAGCACCCAGCAGCTCCAACCCTCTGCACCCAGTCCAGCCCAGCACTGGGCTCCCAACACATCTGAAACCCGTACCACCACCCAGGGTTGCTGGCTCTGGTATCTGTGTGTACACACAATGGAAAATGCTGTTGAAAGGGAACCTTACATAACCTGAAGTACTTGCAAATCACTGTTTTCAGACCAAGAAAAGCTTTTGTACCTGGCATTATTTTCCCAAGAGAGCAGTTTCACAGGTCCAGAGGTCAAGCAGCACAGCGTATCAATCCACAGAGGCATGTGCCCAGCTAAGCATGCTGCTGCCACTGAATTGCTCACAAGTTATGTTGCCTAAGACAAAAGAACTAAGTAGAAAGTAAGAAGATGTCAGTATCAGAGGGATTTCCACATGCCTAGAGTCCCAGGGCTTGCAGTAACTCTTTTTATTTATAGCACAAGGTTGTGGTTTTTGCTTGCCAGGGAATCCTAGGCCAGAAAAAGATTTCAAGTTCCATAAGCTTCGCAGGGCCCCAGAGTATTCTGCAAGCCAAAGAACAAGCGCACCAGGCATTGGGTTTAAACATATCTCTTCCATCATCTTCTAACAAATGTTCCTTGAGGTAAAAAGAGGTTCAAAAGACCTACAAGAGATAAAGCCACAGAAAGCACAAGAAAACTAGGGGAGGAAATAGAAGAGAAGCTTAATTTTTCACAGCACCAAATCATGTTGGGATAGTCTTCACCTGCTCACCTTGACTCTCAGATCAAAGAAAAGTGGCATGGACTACTCAAAGATAAATTTTACAAAGAGATATAGCAGGGCAGAGTGCAGACCCAGGGGAGGGCTTTCTTTTCAGATGGCTTGCTATTAGAAAATTCAGTCTTCATAATTTAAAAATGACTGTGAAGGAAGGAAATAAAAATCACTACAAATGTTTCTACGCTAGCAGCCTATGAGAAGTCCTTAAAGAAATCATGCTTTTGGTTTATTGGTTGTGATACTATCTAAATTAGATCTAATTTTGACAATAAATGATAAATCAAGTAGAGTGAATCTGAAATGTTTAGAGCTGCAGTTAAAAATCAGCCATGGGCTAAACAGAAGAGGCTTCAGCAGCTATTCTTCAGCTACAGACTTTAAGTGTCGTGTTTTTCAAAAGCTGAACAAGAGAGTCGTTTGAAGACCATGATCACTGGAGAAGTCAGCATTAAAAAGTCTTTGGGTTCATGGCACACAGAAAGAGACCATCACAAGGAGCATAAGGAGCTAGGACAGGTTGTACACAGTCAGTCCTGAAGTGTACTGTGTGAGGGTGATAATGAAGTGACCTATAAACACAGGAACTGCTACACCAGAGTACCCTACCTCATTCAGTATTCTGCCTCCTGTCATGACAGAATCACAGAACGGCTGAGGTTGGAAGGGATCTCTGGAGGTCATCCAGCCAACCCTCTGTTCCCAAACAGGGTCACCTAGGGTGGTTTGCCCAGGATGAAGACTCCATAATGTCTCCGGGCAACCTGTCCAGGGTTTGACAACCCTTACAGTAAAAATGTGTTTTCCTGTGCTCAGATGGAATTTCCTGTATTCAGTTTGTGCCCAATGCCTCTGGTCTTGTCAGTGGGGACCACTGAGAAGAGTCTGGCTCTTCTTTTCATTCCCTCCCACCAGGTATGTATACACACTGATTAGATCCCTCCCAAGCCTTCTCCAGGCAGAACAGTCCCAGCTCTCTCAGCCCTTTCTCATACGAAAGATGGTCCAGAATAAAGTCCACAATGAGGAGGGCCTTCAGGTGACTTCAGAGAAGATGCTAGCAGGTATTTAGGCATTTACAGATTTGTAAAGGTTTTTGGTCATCTTAATCCTCAGCTATGCCCTGCATCCTCTGTCAGAACATTCAGTTGTAGAGAAGCATACTAAAACATCAAAAAACATTATCTTGCCAACATAGAAACTAATTCCGGTAATTTAAAAGATATCTTGTACAATTCTCTATCATATGTGTTTGTGCCATTTATTCAGTGTTTTCTAATGGCCCTCCGCCATACTTTCTACAGTTACAAGCTTCTTCCTCCTCACTATTCTAGAAGTACAGCTCCTCTTTTTAGAAGTTTGTAATACAATCTGTCTCAACTCAGTTCCTACTGTAAAAAAAAGCAACAGGAAAAAAGGGAGTCTGGAACATCAAATATTTTGGTGCTTCTTATTTACAACTGAGAAAAGTTTAAAGGTGGTGGGAGGTAAAATCAATTCTGCAGAAAAGCCATCTCATACGTTAAAAGACGTTCAGAAACAATTAACATTTTTCTTTTCTGACTCTCTCTGTGCCTTGAATATGTACTTGCTCATTATATTACCTAACTACATCAGTAAATGTCCCTTCTGTGTTCTTTTCTCCTCCAGGATGACTTTGATGTCTATGACCCTGAATAAGTGCAAAACTATGACATTAACAACATGTGACAAGCAACTCCAGATGCTCAGTTAGGTCGTTGTAGCACATTCATCACTTAGCTAACTAGGAGGATAAAAGAAAGGTCCCAAAAATCCAGTCAGCACTTGGTCTTGCAGAAGTACAACGAGGATTCCAGAAATCATAAGATCGGCCTACTTTGAAAACAGCAAACCAAATTATGACAGGTCTTTTGGACCTATAGATGTCTTACTTTTATCTTTCTCAATGTACTGGCTGGCCACAAGCAGCAGCTGGTTCTCAAGCTCCTTCAGGTCCTCTAAAGCCACATCATACCCTATGTAAACTCCTCGCTGGTCCCGTGTGTGTATACATCCGTCTTCACCAGTGTGAAAGTCGTCATGGTTTTCCACCTCTGGAAACTCCATGAACAGAGCGCTATGGACCTATGCCATGAAAAAGAGACACAGAGGTACAAGCAGTCAGCTCTGCAAGGATTGCAATTCTGTGTAGTCAACATATCTAGGGGTGGACTTAGCCTAGGAACATGCTATTTTGTCACTAGCAAAGAAAAATAAAATAAAAAATTGCCACAATATTATTTTTCACAGGTAGCACCTAGACTGTGGCTTCATTTATGCTATCATGGAGTAAGACAAACTGTACGAAATATCTATTGTGCCTAGTTTTTCCTTCAGGCATATAAATCCACAAAAAGCTCCAAGAAGGCATCAAAATGAGAAGATCAGCTCTCAAGCTAAGGCAGAAGTTTTTTCCCTTCTTCTAACTTAGCTCAAGCTTGGCAAAAAGTGCCTTGAATCCTGGTATTCAAATACAAAGTCAACATATTTTCTAAAGCCCTCATGGGTAAGTTACACCTGCAAGATTCGGAGATAAGCTCGCACACACAAAGACTTTAGCACTAATTAAAAGGATCACCCGCTGACTGATGTCCCAAATTGCTGTGACATCAGCACTTGTTCATAGAATAGTGTAACAGTGACCTTACTTTTCTAAAAAAAAAAAAAAAACCTCAGCATCTTCAAAAGAGAATCATCTACCTTGGCAGTGAGTCACTGGTTAGCTTGGTAACACCCCAGGCAAGAATCCAGTACTGCAGTCAGCAGAAGCAGTGTTTGCTTTCAAAATATTCTCCTTCTTGACTAGGAGTGCCACAAGGGGAATTACATACATCTATCTCTAGGTGTATAATTACAGAAGTTAATCTCCCAGTGTAAATAAACACTTGGTATAGGGGTATAGCCATAAAAACCTTTAAAAATGGTTCTTATTGTAAGAAGGTAGCAAGCAAACAGAAGCTCCTTGTTTTCCACTGTTAGTTTTTTTACTATTTCCTAGTATGTAAAGCACCTTTGTTCTCACTTCAGCACCAAATAATCATGCACAGTGTATTGGGACTTCCTCCTTTCACTGGCTGTGGGCTGGATGAGTGGTCGGTGAGGTAGATTGAGAACTGGCTGAATGGCAGAACTCAGAGGGTTGTCGTCAGCAGCGCCGAGTCTAGTTGGAGGCCTGTAACTAGTGGTGTCCCTCAGGGGTCAGTACTGGGCCCAGTCTTGTTCAACTTCTTCATCAATGACCTGGATGAAGAGTTAGAGTGTTAGTCACGGAAATCTTAGTCAAACTTATATGTACTGGGAAGAACAGCTTGCCAGCTTCACAGATCTATGCTGGACCAGAATTCATTCTTTACTATAAAGTTAACGAGGCAGCCCTGCAAAATGTATGCCTAATTTGAAAATAATGTCTGCACTCTCTGCTCTTTCCTTATTCTTCTGAACAGACTATTTGTTTCACTGCTCTTAGTGATGTGGTGCAGAATTTGCTAAAGGTTAAACCAAAGACCTTTACGGAAGAATCAAATTCAACTTGATTTAGGTAAATAACTGAGCAAATACTTGGCTGACTTTACCATGGCAGGTAGAAGGGGCTTTCAACTGTGTTTTTAAACATCCTTATGGAGAACATTCATTGAAATATCTCCACTTTCAAGCTCTTGAATTTTTTTCCAGTGATTCCAGTTCTGTCCTACTACTAAAAATCTCCGTCAAGATTACTGCATTCTGCAAAAGCGGCATGTGACTATAAAATGGGAGAGTTCGTACAAAACAAAACCAAACAGAAGTAAAGACTTTCTCCCTGTCATGTTTGTTTTGGGAGTCATATTTTAAAGAGACTACCCAAGCCTTCTAAATACTACTTATGCCTATAAAAAACATTAACAGCCAGTTATATGACCACAGCAACAAATCAAGTAACTGGATATTTATGTGTGGTGGTTTTTGCCTGCAGGTTTTGGCTTTTCTCCTCTAGCTCTGCTCAGGTTTACTGGGGCTTAATAAATCCCTTTTGGGTTATAAAGCAACACTCATGCACCTACATGTATTTTATGTGCTTTTTCCGAGCTGAATCTCAACAGGGGACAGAAAAGAATTCTAATTTAATGTAATGCATTGTTTTGCAGGGCCTTCTGTCATTGAAACTCACCCTTCTGATGATCTCTATCCCAAGCAGTCTGCTAGCAAGGGTGCAAAACTGCCTCAGAATCTCAGTTTTGGATACACTGCGAGCTAAGCCATCACACAGGCTTACAGCTTACAGCGTGGAGGGATTCATAACACAGGTAACACCTCCAATTTTGGGCATAGATTAGATGCTAAAAGTATTTTACAAACAATGCCATATGCTTCGGGTTTATAGCATGTGCTAGAGAGTATGTTAGATAGGTCTTAATTAGTTTGCCAGTAAAATGGCTTCATTATTGTTTCAGTTCTTGAGAGACAGTCTGTGCAGTATATATATAAAAAAAAAAAAACAAAACACAAAAACATTAGAAACTGTTGTTAAGGAAATACTGTTGCCCCTGCTTCTAAATTTGTTGCCAATTAAACTGTAATAGGATTAGTAAATATTTATCTAGGCTTTGGTTGAAGTTCAAGCATATATACCCATATCCATGTATTAGTCCAGGCAAAGGGAGGCCACTGTGAAATAATGTCTCTCTCATTGCTAGGGTCTCTATGAAGTATTTCACAGATAATCTCCAGATCAGAAAGTGCTTAGATGGAAGGTCAGAACTGATCTTTGCATCATTTCTTCTGCAACAGGAAAAAGGGGAATGAAAACAAAGGCTGAGAGAGTTGGGGATGTTCAGCATGGAGAAGAGAAGGCTGCAGGGAGACCTTATTGTGACCTTTCAGTGCTTAAAGGGGGCCTATAGGACAGATGGGGAAAATCTTTTTAGCCAGGCCTGTTGTGACAGGACAAGGAGTAATGGTTTTAAACTAAGGGAGGGTAGATTTAGACTGGGTATAAGGAAGACATTTTTTACACTGAGGGTGGTGAAACACTGGAATGGGTTGCCCAGAGAGCTGGTAGATGCCCCATCCCTGGAAACATTCAAGGTCAGGTTGGATGGGGCTCTGAGCAACCTAATCTAGTTAAAGATGTCCCTGCTCACTACAGGGGGGTTGGGCTAGATGACCTTTAAAGGTCATCCAACCCAATGTATTCTATGATTCTATGATATTATGCAGAGTTCAGAAGGAGACTTTGTCACAACACCTGCTTCCTGGAAAACTTACACCACCCACTGAAAACCATTAGTTCTTAAATTACTTTTTCTGACTTGAAAATCTGAAGCTGCTGGACCACCCAGTTCCACATTTCTTTAGTGGAAAATCACAATTTTCTACTTCCAAGTAGCTTTTCAATTAGAAATTTTAATTGATTAGCTTTTTAAAGGATAAATGTGGCCATATTAGAAATAAAAGTACAGATACCTTAAAAATATCATCAACTCCATGTCCTATACACACATTTTATTTATTTTCAAAGAGGTTTAGATTTTTCCATATTTAGGGACATGAAGTTTTTTTCTGATGGGGTTTTTTTGTTTTTCCTTGGAGGGGGGTTGAAGTCTTAACATAAGCAAAAAACAAGGGCAGGAAGCCTACTTTCTTTCTGGTTCTAGCCACAGCTCTTCCATGATGTATCTTGGGTGTTTGATTGTATGTGTTTCCACAGGAAAATACAAACAAACAAGTTTCCAGTAAACGAGAAATAAATGAATAAATATGAGCTCAAAATGGTGAAAAAAACTCCTATTAAAATACTGTTGTGACTCATAGGGCTTTCTACATGAGAATTGTGGGATGAGTGCTAGGTAGCAGAGCTGTAAGGAAATTCTACAGCTCAAAAGACAAAATACTACATACATCAAACCACTAATGTCAGCATCATATATTGATTCTGTTTGGTATATTTTACAAAAACGTTGGGGAAACCAAAGTTTGATAAGCCTTAGGAATTTAATTTGAATTGTTATTTTTCCAAAATGTGAAGCTAAGTGTACTAATTTTATCACTTCAGCCTCATGCCCTCATCCAAGATTAAAAACCAATAAGACCTAAACTCTACCTAAATGTAAATAATACATTTTAGAAGTCATTAGGAGTTACTTAAACAAGCACTTCTTCAAATTGCAAAATGCATCAGATTTCTCAGGAAGATCTATTCTTTGTGATAATCCCACGCTTCAAAAGGTCCTCATTTAAGCACAGCCAGCAGCACCGGTCTAAGTAAATGTTTATCTGGCAGGCAGTATTGACATTATACTTTTATGTGCCTGACGTTCCTCAGAGGTTTGCTATAGACCGCTGGTAGATACAGGTATTTAGTCCATTAAGGTGAGACACGTGGTTTTGAGGAACAAGCTACGCTGAATCCCTCAGGTGACTCAGCAATTGATCGCAACATAGCTTGTATGGAGGAGAGAACTGGATTAGGTACTCCTGTTGAAGCACACATTTTGGAAGCCTAAAGGCTAGGTGTTACCTCACCTTGTAGTCAGCTGGCGTGTAGTGAATATACGGCTGTGAACTCAGGCCACCAAACCCACCAGTGCTTCCTTTGGCAGCACTGACCCAGGCGGTGTCTTCTGCACTGGGAGTTAGGCGACCAGCCTTGAAGGAGAGACCAGTGGTACTGATGGTCAGGCTTCTCTCCACGGACCTGAAGTAGTTAAGGATCCCCAGGCACACTCACCGAAAAAAAATGGAGCAAAAGCACAGCTGCATTTTCAGTTTGATGACAGCCCCCTCCCCTCCACCCCCCACTCCCCCCCTTAAAAAAATTAACTCTGATCTCTGCAGATTTTATGTTGAGTTTTTTTACCTTTAGCTCCCGGAGTCTCAGGTGACATAAGAAAAGAAGAGATAAGTAGGCTCCTCTTCTCACCATGTGCTCCCTGTGAGCAGCTGCCGTGCCTTCTTCTAATCCTAGCAGCTGCAAGCTGCCCATATAACTATACCTTTTTCCACACAGAAAAAATATAATTATATTTTTGCTACTCAAGAAGATTTCTAAACCTTTCTAAAGTAGACAGCTTTGGTATTTTTGTTGTCTAATAGAATGCTGCTGCTGCCTACAGCACTGACTGTCATGGAAATCTGCAGTATGGAATAATGGGGAAAAGGACGGCACTACGGTTTCTGTCAGATAAACAGTAGTTTGATACAATTTTTCTTCCTTCTTTCCAGTTTTACTAAATACATACATACATATAAACATTTTTTTACCCTCTTTCATTCTGCTTCCTGAAGGATGCCGGGGGTTTAACGGAGCCGATATTTCCTACAGCCTCCCCACTGTAAGCCACAGCTGTGTTCTCATCCTCGGCAGTTAGTTCCTAGTTCCAACACACATAGTTAAAAATTGGTGTGGTAAGTATGCATATGATTCTTCTTTGACAGCTTTATACATAGGCTTTATCAAGGAAAAGGAAAAGGAAAAGGAAAAGGAAAAGGAAAAGGAAAAGGAAAAGGAAAAGGAAAAGGAAAAGGAAAAAAGGAAAAGGAAAAGCCATACTGGATGAGATTCATAATCCAGTCAGCAGTGAAATTATGGTGGCACATAACTCCACAATATTTGATTGCTTTCCAGGCCTTAGCATTTTATCCTTATAAAGTCCCTGGGCTGTGTGAAAGAGCTATCCCCATTCCAAAGACAAGTCCAAGGCAAGGGTCAGATCGAGGAACTTTTCCAAAGAAATCTAGAACATCTGTTTCATCAAAACTTCAACCCAGCTATGGCTGGTGGCCTGTCTGACCTCCTAGTCCATCCTTTTTCCTCCTGCCATAAAAGAACAACTGGTTCTGGGCCCCAGCAGATTACAGGCTGAACATGGGGCAAAATCATAGCATGGCAACAAAGAAGCATCAGACTAGGCTGTAGAAAATTTTACTGTGATGTATACACAAGACCCCCAACACAAGCATGTATTAAATGCTCTAGCTAACATTCTGTAAAATTAAATACTTGTTTCTATTTTCCTCACTCCTTTACAGCACACTCAACAAGAGCTATACCTACCTTGTTATCAGCTCCATCAAGGCATTCTCACATGCATCAGAAGTTACTCCCGCAACATCAGTGAAATTAAACTGGCATTAGTACCAGTGTAAATGAGAAGATCACTATGAGTCACACAGTATTTATTAATTGTGGAACATTGTGGACAGTGATTTACTAGCATTATCCAATTAATTTCCTCACACAATCAAGTATATAAGAAAAATTTGTCCTCTTAACCCACTTCTCTATCCCAATTTATTTTACCACTTCATTTGAACTTGGATGGCATAAGCTGGAATTCTTTCTAGTGTGTTAAGGGTTTTATAGCATTGATTTTGGCACTGTTTTTTCTGATTAGAGAAAATCCTATTAATGTATCTTCACAAATTGGTGCTTGTCAAATTTATCCTGCTCAACATGAGATACCCTAACAAAGCTACTCATGGAAGTGACACAGATAAACTCGAGACTACTTTGACTGTTCTATAAATTTACAAGTTGACATGAGTGTATTGTCTCCAAAAATTCCTTCAAGCCAAACAAAACTTGATGTCAAACTATCAATGAATTCTTTACATAATCCTTGCAATGACAGATTATTTTTTTAACTGATTTATCTGTCCTTATTAAGCGTGATCATCCTCACTCATCCTGTCCTCGTTGACTGCAAAGGTCTAATTTCTTAAATTTTAGAAAAACTAGGTCCTTCAGTCTCTATTACTTAAAGCAATGTGAGGTCAAATTGAATGAAAATATTTCCTGAATCAGTAGCATTAACTGTGTATCTCTACTAAACATCACAGTGTTTACGGACTAAGCATGGGATGAAGCATTTCCACTTAAAATTTTCACTTTAAAAAGATACAGACAACGCTGACTGAAAAATACCAGTAAAATGAGGAAAAAAGGGTAGCAGCTGAATTTTTATTTTAAAAACAATGAGACCTGCGCAGCGCTTTTTCTGTGAAGGATCTAATTCTAGCCTTGCTATACCATCATGACTAGACTGTTTCAAAATCAGGTTTTTAGTTAACCTAACGCTGCTGAGATCAGTCATGTCCCTTGCATTGCCCCCAAATAGGTCTTCTTTCCCAACCCAGTCATAGACTCAGTGCACTCGACAGAAGATATACAGTGCAATCATGTTTTCTTTCTTTTTCTTCATTAATCATCACGTAGCTTGCATGAGTTAACCCCATTTTTTTTCCTGAAGTTTTCATTAAGTAATCAAATGTTTCCTGGTCAAGGTCAGCCTGAGGTGGCAAGAACTATATGTTTTTACATGTGGGAGCCTTTCCTGACAGAAAAATGTGGGTTCATTTTTAAACATGGAGTTGGTATCAGGCTCAGGGCCGATTAATCAGTAGGAAAGAGGGAATGGGGAGAGATTAAATGATGTTTCTCTCCCTCTGTTCCCTTTCCCCTGCTTCTTTATCACTCACTGCCCTGCTTGGTCCTGGCCAAGAGCAGTGGTGCAAGAACTTCTCATTAACAATGGGGCTGCATCCAGCCCCAGTAGCTGAGACCTTTCCTCTTTAAAAAACAACAGCAGAGCAAGGAGATTGTTCAGTCCTTTCTTAACTTGCCGCCAGGGCCCACTGGTGTGGGCAGGCGGGCATGGATAGAGTGAGCCAAATGGCTGCAGATACAGGAACTTCTGGGATATAACAGTTCTCTGTGCGATGCTTTTATAATTGGCAAAGCAGCAGCTGTGAACAACTTCTGAGTCAGAAGGACAACAAAGAAATTGGGAATCAAAGTCCATCTTCGTCAAAGGGCTACTTTCAAACTCAGAGGATTAGTCACAGAGCTCACCACACAAGGCATGGCAGAGTTGCCACAAATTCCCCAGGTACCAGAGAGGTAGGTCCTACCTCATTCACTACCCTGCCAGTTACGCCATTTATGTTTTTTCTCTCCTCTCTCCAAAACTTAAAGATTTCTCACAGCTTCTGCTCTTGCAGTGTCTGAACTCCCGTGAGGCCGTGCCCACAAATGCCACTTCCTCGCTGAGAGGAGGAAGAGGCCATTGCACCTGCCCCTGCACAAAGCAGCCATCCGCTACCACGCTCACAGGTGCTCAGCTGCTGGGCGGCCTCCAGCAAGGAAGACATCCCACCACCCTTCCTCCCCTCTCCTCCGTACACACATGCCAGCCCGTTCCCTAATACCACACTCTCCAGTAAATACGTGGGCACACTTCTCTTTTGTGCAGCCAGACTCACACCCCAGCTCTGCTACAGGAGAATGATTTTTTTATTTTCATTGTCTCAGTGAGCTGCAAAGCCATTTTCACTTTTGTTAGTAGTGATGGTCACTTTTGCTCAAGCTTTCCAGAAAAATTTCATGCTGTGGCAAGATTTGGAAGAACAGTTTCTCTGTGAAATATCTGGCATGGGGAAAAGGTCTGAAAACAGGGAACATAAAAGAAAGCTTATTTCAGTCCTATATTAAAAAAAAGACCATAAATGGCTAATCTTTAGAAGAGTATCATCAAAATCAAATCCGTGCAACTATTTAAAATATTGTAAAGCCAACTTCAGCTGCAAAGTCTACACATCCACCTTCTGATTTCTGCAATTTAAAGAGTGCTCTCTCAAATGCTTTGTGAGACCCACAAAAGTAAATTATGAATGTTAAATGGGAACCAGGGAGACTGATTATGTACAGAGTACTGCCAAAAAAACAGGTTGAACAAAATTATTAATAGTACAAAAGTAATTTTTTAAAAACACATCTAATCTTGCAGTACTTTTTTTAATTGCCACTTGTATCAGAAGTGTAATTTGAAGAGCATGGTCATGCTTTAGCAATTATTGGCATCAGCAAAATTCTGTCAATATGAATTCTAGCAAAGCATTGACAGGAATTCTAAGGGGATTGAGACCAGGAGTTTTATAGGACTCATCTTTTTCATCTGTTTTGAACAAAGATGCTGAAAAGTCAAAACAAATGGAACCTTGCTTAACACAGGAAGAAAAAAAATAACACTCATTAAAAACAGGGGGAAACCCCAGAGGAGAAAGCAGCCTTTAATAAAAATGTAAATTAAATACCAAGCCCTATAGAAATGATTTTTCCATTAATTTCCCGAGCATTTTGTTATTTCATTTTCTTACTTGTTCAGAGTCACCAACTTCTGATCCATTACTGCTTCTCTACTAAACACTCATACCATCCAGCATTTCCCTGCCAAGCCACCTTTGTTTCCTTAGAGTTATATTTATTTTTGGGCTTGTTAGACACTGAAACACAAAACCAGAAGTCAGGCAGTGGGACAAGGCTTGGGGAAGGTGAGCAGGGTGAGAAGCCAGGAGCCTCCATTTTCCCTTTCCCAAGCCACAGGATAGTTTGCTCCAGCACAGCCTCATCATCCTCATGCCTTCAGCCCAACACAAGCTGCTTATGAAGGCTCCCTGTTGCCTTTTCACTGAGGTCAGCTTCAGGTGTAGGCAAAGCAAGAAGCTGCTGACAGGAGGCTGACGGAATACTAAGCAATCCTGAGACAGCTGGGCAGCAGAGCAGGCACCATCCCCACATGCTGTCCATGGCTACAGCACCAAGGGCTCTACCCTGCTGAGCTGGTTCTGTCTGCTTCTGCCTGTTTCTGGGTGTTTAGATGTTGCTTTAGTTGCTTTTTTTGACACCTCCCCTGTTCTGCTCTGTGCCATCCACAGTCCCCATGCATATGGGAAGCCTCCTCCTCCCCTCTCCAACTAGCAGCCCCAAAGAAGGCAGCAACCCTGCAAGGGTCCCAGATCAAGGCTTGCCCACAACTTAAACACACAGCATCATCTAGGGCTCTGTGACAAGCCCACTACCCCCTTTTTAGACAGCAGGGGCTCTTCAAGCCTGAGGACAGAGGTATTTGGATGGACTGCAGCAGTGGTTCCTCAGGGAGAGAAGACCAAGGAGCCTGGTGACATTTCAGGGCTGAAATAACATGAGCTGGAGACACGGCTTAGGCTGCTCTGGTGTACCCAACAACGCCCGAGTACTAAGGGAAGAAAGAGACAGCTCACCAAGGACTTTCCATTTGGCAGGAATGTGATTATCGATAGAAGAGGGCCTGCAGGGGCACGACTACTCCACAGCTTCAGAGAAGGGATTTATTTTCTGGTTCCTGTGTAGAACTGGGAGCTGAACTACAAGGCATCCTTATTGTTCATACTGCTCTAGACTCAGCCCGGGGATGACAGGCAGTAATCTCATCCTCTGATTGCCAGGTCAGTTTTGCTGGCTGGGATATTTATACAGATCCAGTCCTACAGTAGCAGTTCACCATCTTAACGGCATTAGTTTTCCTCATCCCTGAGAAGCAGAGAACTCCTGTTATACCACTTTTACAGGTGAGGATACCAGACGTGCTCAAATTTCACTGGAAAAATGTAGCAAGACCCCGGTAGCCCTGCCCAGCCTCTCACACCCTGCAGTTCACCCATGCATCTGCAGCAGGGGTGAAGGAGCAGAGCTAACAGGGCACAGGCAAGCCAGCCCTGCAGGGTACATTCCGTGAGTAAGATGCAATTAGGACAAATGAATACTGCTCTTCCCAGGTGGCCACCGTTTGCAAGACAATGATGTGGAGCTGTCAGAGGTGTCTCAGGCTCACTGTGGATGCAAAGTAGACCCAATCTGCGAATGCACCTTGCCATTTTTCCAAGGAGCCTGGATGGCAGGCAGCCTAGACAGAGCTGTCCTGCAGGACGTCCACAAAATGGCCAAAAATGGCAATATATCCCCAGAATCAAAAGGACCCGTGAAGCTAGAACCAAAATAGAGACACTCAGTAACCTCTCCCCGGGGCACAGGCAATTTGTACAATTGTACCCTATCAAGTTTTAGACTTGTACCTCACTGTTGGAGCATCTCTCCTCGTCTTTTGAGCACAGGTCTGAACCTTGGTCACACTAAGAAAAAGCTATTCTGAGCAATCCCTTTGACAAAAATTCCAGGGCTCATTTTTACCTGACACAGGTGAACTTCAGAGACCTTGAATATTTCTGCAAGTGTTCAAGCTGCCTTTTGAAACCACTGAACTGAGAAAGAGGGGGAAAATATCTCTATAGCACCTTAGTAATGGATCTTTAATGGATTTGGGCATATATACACGATATGTAAACCTGAGGCAACCTTTCTTTAGACATTTCAATAAATAAATTAAAATCACTTCAAATTAAATCACTTTAAGTTATATTACCTCTACAAATTTCGAATGGAGGTCCATCAGCTTATCCACTTTTTTCCATTGTTTCAGTTTTATCAAAAGCTTTTGCTGCCAGGGACCTACTCTAGGCTTAATCTGGTTGACAAAAAAATAACCACAAAACTTATGAATATAGCTACATGTCTTTGGTATAGGAGGCAACATTTAGTAAAGAAAGCGCAATACATTCACTTTTTATTTTCAACAGACATGAAAATGGGCTCTTGACTCTATAGAAATATAGTAGTTTGATAAGGCCTGAATTATTAAAAATGTCATCACTCTTTGTCAAAAGAAACATTTTAGACTCTAATTGCTGAAATGTATCTTGGTACATCCTGAGACTGGTTAGGACTAACACAACTGAAAACGAGAAGTTCCTCATAATTACCTTTACAAAAGGGATCCAGTTGGCTCTCTTTTTCAAAGCCCTGGGCTGGATCTAGCATGCCCCAGTTCTCTGACCAAGAAACCTCTGCGTCATAAACTGGAAACGTTCTCTTCGTCTGCTGTTTGCAGAAGACGCTTCTAAATTTTTGGACAACGTAAAGTGTAAAAAGAGATGGTACTGTTAATAAATTTCCCAAGCCGGATATTAAATCCTATACCAAAATGATATCGCAGTGATAAAGTGACAAAGCAGACATTCCGGTCCTGTGTTTTCTTTCCTTGCCAGCAGACACAATGAAACTCCTTGCTGTTAACTCTGGAGCCTCCAGAAAGAAAACGAGGATTTTCAAAAACACTGTCTTTCAGTCAAAATCAATGGCAAATTTATTATCGCTCGCTTTGGTGGGAATAGCATTAGCCTAGATGTTCTTTGATAATCACGTTCAAAAAGGAATAAGCTACTGCTAACCTGCAATGAAGGTAGTTTATGTCATTGCCTAGCTGTGTAAACACCCCTGCCTGTGCTTATCTCGGGTAGTTCAGTGAGTTCAGCTGGACTAGTCAAATGTTAATTTGATGAAAGGCTTACAGACTAGTTTATGCAACCAAACCTTTGTCCTTTTCAGCTGTACCACCTGTTACCATACAAGGCGTGGTTTGCAAGGCAAGCCATGTATTTAAAAGCAGTATATTATCACTGTTTAACAGTTATGCATCTCTTTTGGACCCTGGACAGACGGTGGAGATTGCCTTTTGGATGACAGAACAGACGAAAAGCAGAGTTTTCCTGCTGGTAAGCCCTGAGCTGGGGAGACTGGGTGAGCTGCTGGGCGATGGCGTGTCGCAGCCGACCTCTAGTGGAAGCCCCACAGCTCGGGGGACACCAGGCGAGGGCAGGAAAACTCGAGAAAAACCCACACAAAAAGCACGAGTGAGAGCTGGGAGAACAAAGGTACGGACTCAGAGCTGTGATGCTAAAAACACGAATGTCAGCAGCTACTATAGCTTAGTGAGAGCGAGCCGGGCCTTTCTGCTGCTTCCTGTCAAGAGCGAAAATGCCCACAATCTTATTTTTCCATGACACAAAGCACTGACTTGCAATAAATGGAAATTCCTTCCCCCCTTTTAAAGACCTTTTTTTTTTCCTTTGCTTTTTTTTTTTTTAAGTATTGACAAGTGCATTTCCATTACCAGTGGAAAGAGCTCCATATCATCAGCTGAGTCCCTGAGATCCTTCAGGTTGCAGTCAATACCAAAGTGAGAAAGCAGAAGCTGGAGCCGAGGTTTCAGCTCCTCAGTTTCAGTGCTGTGCCGTGGCAGAGTGAATCCAGTGTCCCTGTGGCAGGATTCTGCAAAAAGCCATAATGTATTGACAAGTGCATTTCCATTACCAGTGGAAAGAGCTCCATATCATCAGCTGAGTCCCTGAGATCCTTCAGGTTGCAGTCAATACCAAAGTGAGAAAGCAGAAGCTGGAGCCGAGGTTTCAGCTCCTCAGTTTCAGTGCTGTGCCGTGGCAGAGTGAATCCAGTGTCCCTGTGGCAGGATTCTGCAAAAAGCCATAATCAGACCAGGTGGAGAACTTCAACACTTTAAGTAACACGACTGTAAGATGACTGTAAGCACGCTGTCAGTGCCCTTTGCTTTGCATCCGCGCAGTGATGTAATTCCCCTTTTTTTGTCCTGAAGCAGAAATATGTCAGAGAATGGAATGTGATGGCAAAGGGGAACCCACATTGTATGGATTTTTATTGTTTTCATTTCTCTTTTAAGAAAGAGCCTTCTGCCAGATCCCAAAAGACTAACAGCTGTTGCAGGTCGGGGCACCTCCACGGTCCTTGGAGGAGTGCCTATCTTCTAGCATGGAAAGGATGCCAGCTAACAAATCCTACTGCCTGAACAGAGTCCTGGCTCAGGGGTGTACAACATTCTTCTCACACACACACACCTCCCAAATCTTCACATGCCACAAGAACTTCAAGTATGTTACTATTTCAGGGTTATCACTACTCCGGTATCCAATTCTGTCATGATGTTGCTATCTCAAACTTCTGAAACAAGGGTGTACTGGGAACGGCTGAGTTTGGCCTGGTATCGGTGTTGAAGAGTCTGTTGGAAACATAGCACCCATTTTTAGAAGAACTGAAATGTTTTCATCTCTTTCTTCACCTCGTCTTAGGCTTGCTCAAGGCTTTGAAGGCTATCAGTATTCCTTCATCCTCAAAGAGCCAAAACTACTGTGTTCCTGCAAGTTTTGTCATAATTTCTTCCCTTTTTTCAGCTCTTTGACAGGTATATTTACCATTGGGTTTTTGGTTGGTTGGTTTTTGCCTTAAGGCTAAGCCATAACAAACAGTAGCACTTTTTCTGCTACTACTTTTCCAAAGATTTTTTGAATGTCCAAATAAGTGTCAACTGATTCTCCTTTACCCTGTACTGATGGGTACGGCTGATACGTGCAAAGATCCTAATAGGGAAGTTATAGTTTGCTAAAGTTCAGCAGCACTCTTGGGGTTTAGTGGAACTACATGTAATCGAATGTCCAAATAAATGTCAACTGATTCTCCTTTACCCCATACTGATGGGTACGGCTGATACATGCAAAGATCCTAATAGGGAAGTCATAGTTTGCTAAAGTTCAGCAGCGCTCTTGGGGTTTAGTGGAACTACATGTAATCTAATTTATTATCTCATTGTTTCAGCAATAAAGGGCCATCTGCGTTTCTATTCCATGCTTTACTTCAGCTTTGTTTTTAATGTCGTGTTTAATCATTCTGTTGTTTCATCTATGAAGCTCAGATCTAGATAGTAGATGAATGAATCTTGTGATGGTAATCTGATACTGTTCCTCAAATATTAGATAACTAGATACTGAAGATCAAAATGAGCTAGAGCACTTTTGAATTGCTTTTTAATACCAATAAGGGTCTACTCCATGGCAAAATGAATGGCTCAGGTGAACTCTGTAACATTGTAGGTCTCGTGCCCTTCTCCATACATTATTAGCCCACTGCATCCAAGATCACGGATCATCCCTTCCTCTTCTATCCCGCTCATATAAGAGAAACATAGCCTGTTCAAGGGGCTTTGTTTGGAGAGAAGAGTTTAACCTTCCTCTCCCTGCGCCTTAACACTGGTAGTGCTGTACTCCTGGGGCAGTGCTGCCATATCCCCCCACCGTGGGACCCACTTGGGCCTAAGGAGTGAAAGACGGCTGCACCAGCACAGACAGCTAGACCAGTCAGAGCTTAGTTAGACCACTAACTAAGGGCTAAAGGCCCCTTATCTGTCCCAGGTACATCTGCACTTTCCTTAGCAGTGTTCTCGATCAATCGTCACTGGTTGGGCAGTGCCGTTCCAGGCCAGGGCTGCGCCTTGCTCACCCGTGCAGACCCCACAGGTACAACTCTTGTGGTAGACGTTTTCAGTGGAGAAAGGAGACGGGGAGGACAAGTTGCAGCCCCTTTTCGTTCCTCCACCCTGGCCAGCCCACCTCTCAGCTGCAAGGAGGAGGTGTACACCCTGCCTTGTGCTTTTCCAGAGACAATCCTGTGAGCCCCTACAGTTCCACACCGTTCCCACTTTGTGTGTAAAAGCATGGGTTAAATCATAAGATTTAAACACTCTGCAACAGGAATGCTGCCTTGCTTGCCAAGTACCATTCACATGGGTAACTCTACATAGGCGACATCACTCCCTCCCTTCCTTCAAAAGGAAAGGGAACATGAAAATAACCACAAGGAGATTTTTCTAGAGATACTTCAGTATAAGTCTTAAAACACTAGCTTTCTTCTCTTAGTTTCTGCAGAAACAGGCCACCCACAGAAATATTTTAAATAATACTCTTGCAGAAAGTTGGAAGGGTGAGTTTCAGTGTTTGGCATAATATGGACAACATCCTGGATTCCCCACTGGGTTGATCCCACAAGTATCCTTCTGAACCGCCTGTTTCTGCAGCCCAGGATACAGTAAGGCCAGAGAAGCAACTGCCGCACATTGAGGGCTCCACACTCTGGGATCTGGATGCCAGACTTCCAAGATTCTTGCTGACTTTAAACGCCACACTCCAAGTTCATCAAGCATACAGACCAAGGATGGCAACTTTTGCACTGCTGACCTTTCTCAAAGAATATACATCAACAAATAGATTATCTGTAGGACTTGTGGTTTTAAAGGAAAGATGATAATTTCTCACCATTTCTTCTTAAAACTCTTGAAAAGGGAAATACATCAATATTAAAAACATCTGAATTCTTGTCAAAAGCACTTCATAATTTGTCCCAGTTTTCTTGGACCACATCAGGATGCTTCTTATCAGCCACATTCATTCTGTGACAAATAGGCAAATGCTGGAGAACCTGGAGTTAAGAACATAGCTGCTGTTATTCTTAGTCATTTAGAAAGCACACAAACTGTTCAGTTGCAAATCTAGTAATAAATAAAACACAAAAGAGAAAAAACAAACCATAGTTATCCATTGTGTATAATTCCAGAAGTTTATTCACTGTCAATGACTTGTAGCACTCATATAATAAAATCACTAAAGAAACTAGATAAAACAAGGAAGTACTCAGATTTGTCTTCAAAAGGTGACACTTAGACAAATACTCCTCAGGTCTACAGACAATTCACTGAGATGACTTAGTCCCTTGATAGTATCCTGCTCTATTATCATCACAGTAATAATACAGAAAAAAATCTCTCCAAGCTTTCTCCTTCTCATCCTGGACGTCTTCAAATCCAAGTAGCCCAACACGATTTACACTGCACCCAGGGAGCTCATTATTCCACTCACCTAAATTCAGCTTTATCATTGTAGAATTTCCTTTCTAGTAAAATCAATCTGCTAAAAGAATTGAAAGTCGTATGTATGCAGTCTAGCTCATTACCTACAAATCTCTAGATTTCTTTTACATGGAATTTGGTCTTCCTCAGTTTACTTTCTTATCCAAGACTTAAATATTCCATAATTATACTCCACTTTTCAAACAACGCTCGTCTTACCTGGAGAAAATTGTGAATGCCCTTCAGAGAGTGTAAGTGACACACTAACCACCGTGTGTAAATCATTAGATCTTCCAGTATCACTACATTTACCGGATTTTTCTTTCCTGTCGGGAAACTTTCCCTTGCTGCTGAGAGCCTTGCAGCCCTCTGAACTGCATCGTTGTATTGCTCCATGATGTGACTAATTCGCTTCTGTTTATGTATATAAAAGAGACACTGTCATTTTTGCATTTCTGTATCTTCTTCCCTTATTAACTAGAAAGTCATTGAATTTCCACTACATAAAGAATCCTAGTTTGAAAGTAATCTCAAAGGTTTATTTCCTTCCTAAATGCTTACGAATGGTTATTTCCAAACCAATGTGGAAAAGGGAATTCCAGTCCAAACAGCGAATCTCTCTGAGCAGCTAATACTGACCACAAGCAGATAACTGAGAGTGAATGCCCAGAGACAAATTCCAGAGATAAATTACCCTTAAGGTTAATAGCTTTTTATTTGGGTGGAAAACTGCCATTGCTAACATTTTGTTTTTCATGAACAGCCACTGTGCTAGGTATGTATGTTCTAGATCCTAGGTTTTGGTTCCTACCTGACAGAGAGGATAAAGCTGTTCAATAACACTGCTGTGTGTACAAAATGTCTTCCATCTAAGCATGTGCAAATATTTACTCTGGACTAGCTGAGTAATTCTGTCTGTAAAAAACTTGAATAAAATCAGAAATAACCAACAAATCAGTCATTTGTAAACAACAGCAGCTTAACATTATAGGAAGCTTAAGCAGTGTATAGATCATCATTAGCATCAGAGAATAACACCAAAATAACAGCTAATCAGTCACCAAAGACCACTGTGCTGTTATATTTATCGATGAAGAGTGCTCCCCCTAAGTTGTCCCACTGGAAGTATTATTGTGGGAATGAAAAAAAAGCAATTAATACAAGGAAAATGGCAGAATTCAGTCCACTGGACCTAGAAATTTGAACTCCACTTCAAAAAACGAAAACAAGAATAACCCACAACACAGAGGTACTAGAACAGCACAAAAGCACCAGGGAATTGGGAGAACCTTGTCCCAGCCCACCTGACCTGGCTTAGATCCCTGCCCTTTAAAGAACGAGAAGAGGAATTTTTCCCATCGCGCAAGGACACTGCAAGCACTAACGCTTTCGTGCCTGTTTCAGAAAGGAGTTTCATACCGTTCTCCTTATTTTCAAACGCTGCCAGTGCGACCTGCTGGGCCAGGGGCCTGCTCCCACAGCCCCGCAGCGAGCTGCAGCCCCGCCGGGTGCAGCAGCAGCAGCGGGACGTTCGCTCCCATCTCCAGCAGCTCTCTGCCTCCCCTGCCCCCCCCAGCCCCGCGGGGGGGGGGGGCCCCGCCGGGTGCAGCAGCAGCAGCAGCGGGACGTTCGCTCCCATCTCCAGCAGCTCTCTGCCTCCCTCTGCACGACATCGGCCTGAACAACAAGAGGTTTTGCTCCTGTCACCTGCAAACGGAGCACGCGTTGAACAGACCTCTTTTTCAGGATGTATAACAACAACGACAAAAAAAGGTGGCAAATACAGAAAAATGTTTAGGCGTTGAATTTAATTGGAAGTTGTCACAGAAACAAATGCTGCAGAGCCAGGTCCACGTTATTATTCAAATAAAAGAAATGTTATGCTGTTTTACTACTGTGCAAACATTACGACCCTTCCCATTCTGTCTTTACAGGCCCAGATTCCAGAAAACATACCACTTTCTCCGATTTTAATTTTCAGTAGCTACTTGGTAAAGAGCAAAGAGAACCTCTTTAAGCCAGTGTATGTTATAGTTACCTACCTGTAAGCCTTTCTTTAGTATTACTTCCCTTTCTTTCCTGAAATAAGATGCATCCTTTGGAATCGGAACAGAACTGCAGACAAATAAAAAAAATGTTTAACAGGATGTACAAGCTGCTATAAAGCAAACACTTGTCAGGCACAATACGACTCAGATGGTGAAGTTAACAGTAAGCGAGTTTACTGGTATGAAAACCCTATATTAAAGCAGCAGAACTTATTACATTAGCAGACATTTTTTGGCAAACTCTTTCCTTCCATCTCCATTTTTCAGTCAAAGCCCTTAAAAAGTCCATCTGGATGCTTGTCGGTTCTATGGGCACATATTTCTACCCACTGCTATGCAGTGGAGCTCCTTGACAGGCATCCTTCACAATTTAGACAACTTCCTTCCTAATATGCCCGTATCACAGAAGGAGAGGCTGAGAAAACGTCTGGAGGAGAACTTTTTTTTAATTCTTGTGTGTTCATATACTTACAGCAAGCACACATTACAAGATGTTTATTTAACTGAATAAAATGAAGCATGCAAATCAAAAACATATATGAAAACTAACAGGGCTGGTGAACCTTGTCCAAAAGCAATACAAGGGAAACTCCGCTGGAACACTTTAGAGCCCTAAGGAGGTAGGACCAGGAGGGGTTTTGTGATCGTCTACCACTTCCACTGCTCTAAGGCAGGGAAAAGTAAATCTGTTCCCTAAAGGTGTTTGTCTATCCTCTTATAAGGACCTTCATTCAAGGATGGTCAGCAATCTCCTAGTCCAGATATCGGTGCTTAATTAACACAATCATTGGCAAGTTTGAATTTTAGCCTATTATTTTCTGTCTCCTGTTCCCTTCATCTTTACAGCAATCTTCTATGTATTTGAAGACTTTTAACCTAGAGAAAATGGAGTGGAGACACAAGTCCAGCTCCTTTCCTTTTTGTTTCAAGTGTCCTAGTCAAGTGTTCTTGACTTCTGTTTTCCTCCAAATATTTTCCAGCTGGTCCACAGCTTCCTTGGGGCACAATGCCAAATCTGGGTACATTGTCATAGCTTTTGTCTCATCATCGTTGAGGAAAGTAAGAGCAGCTGTCTTATACGTGACCATTCTGTTTATATATCCCAGCATTATGTTTGAAGGTATTTTTGTTGTAAGAAGGAAATACTTGACATGCTAGCGAGATTTATAGTTTTGCTTACAATATACAGCATGAAATCAATTTGGTTTATGTTTTGACATTCTTTTCCATTTCAACCTTCATTCCGTGGTAGACACTCAGTGAAAAAGCTGCTGTTCCTGGCTCCCATGTGTGCATTCAGGTCTCGAAATTCTATATAGACATAAGACTTTTGTA